CTGACCAAACTCAACCAGGCACATCCCTCTATTCAATTCACTTTTGAAACTGAAATTGACAACGCTTTCCACTTTTTGGACGTTAAGTTAGTCAGACTTTCCACGGGTTCAATTCAGAGATCTGTCTACAGAAAGCCCACATGGACCGGACAGTACAAAAACTTCCTGAGCTTTGTGCCAATGAGGCGGAAACGAACCCTGATTCAAACTTTAACGAACCGAGCAAAACGTATTTTTGCTCTGCTGATACACTGGACTCCGAACTACAGCACATTGCTAACGTGCTCCGAGCCAATGTTTACCCGGAGAGGTTTATAACCAAGAATATGTTCGACCGCCCTATCCAACCGCCTATCACGACCGTTGGAAAGAAGCCAATATACTTGAGTCTACCGTATAAAGGCGATCTGTTGGCGGACATATTCAACCGCCGCTTGTTTCAATCCTTATAACGCACGTTTCCGGCTGGAACTCTGCGGTCTTGGTTCACAACAAACCCTCTGCTCAACTTAAACCTCAAAGACAAGATGCCAGTCTTCACCCAGAATATGGTTGTATATTATTTCTCCTGCTGTTGTTTGGCGGAGTATGTTAGGCGCACGACACGGCAACTTTCTAAGAAAATACGCGAGCCCCTTTCTTACCGGAATACCACTAACCTCAACAGTTCAGCCAGGAGCTCAATCGCATCCCACCTAATTGACACCGGGCACGTAGTCATGCTAAATGAATCATTTCAAATCATTTACCGCGTGTCAAATAGACTAACGGTATCTATTCAACGACGTTGCTTGACAACGGTCGAGGCAGTCGCTAAACGCCTGTGAAACTCGGTACTGTGCTGTCAAAAACGTTTCGTACGAACGCTGAGTCTGCCTTGGTCGTGCGACACGAATCAACCGGCCGTCACTCAACAGCCGTCTTCACTGTCTGACAGCATCCAACTGGATGCGAAATTGGGGGGGGGGTAGGCGCAGACAACAAATCGTTCGTGTTTCCACGTTTTTGCATTTCACTAACCAATCTTCGTAGCGTATTTCATTTTTAGCTCTTATTTTACCCATTAGATATATACTGATCTGATGACGAGATCCCGAAAACATTAATGTTTGTCACTGTGTTATTTTTCAAACCAAGGGAATATTCAAGCATTATTACATTTGTTAAGGGTCTCAAAACTAGGTAAATCAATTTGCATTGTATAAAGGAGAAACTTGAAATTTCTCTCAAACTTATAAAATTAGTGATACAAAATACACGGGTAACGTTGAAGATTTTTTATGCTTGCGAAATTAAATTTAGGTTAACAACAGTCCTTGGCCTCAGGGTGATGAACCGCGTTAAAATGGGTAATTGGACCCCGATTTAATCCGAGGAATCATAACATTTTTGAGCGGCTTTTTATTCCACAGAATTGAGAAGGAAATTTTTGTGCCCTTTGCCAGTGGACGGGTGTAAAAATCGGGACAAAATCAATAGCACAAATTACTATGGTGCTGTACGGATGCTTTCTGGTTCTCAATCAGCTTAGCTAACCAGAAAAGTTTCTAGGAAAATACACATTCAAATTTTACCGGTTACTTGTTTAACCCATCCAGACTGAAACGCAACAGGAACAACATAGTGCTGCCTGTCTAGACTGATTTCGTTCAGTCATCTCAGTAAGCAAATTAGTTGGAGGACTGCAGAAAGCACGATAATTAGTTCAAATATTTTTAATCAAAAACTAGACTGGCTCTATGTAGCAGACGAGCGAAGTGAAAGATGAGGGATGCCTCAGCAGTCCTAATAAAAAATATTGATGACAGCAAAGCCTAAGCCTGACGGAAACTTTATTAGATATAAGAATGACTTCAGGCATTTGTGTTTGCGTGAACGCTACTGTTCGCACAGTTCAACGGCACTGTGCATTTTTTGTTAAAAACAAGTGCTTCCATAACAAGTTATGACATAACGCGGATTCCTGTGACCAGATGCAAATCGAATATATTGGTAATTATAGTAAAATGAATAGGTAATTTAACGAGTAGGCGGCAATGCAGATCGTCCAGTAAGTTACAAAGGAAAATGATCAGCCAATGATCATCCGAATTAGGTTCGAGTTCCGTCAACCAACCACCTGGATTTCACAGTATACAACTAAACGTCATCTCAAACCTCGATCATCCAGTCGTTCATTTTAGTCGGGAGTCGAAATAAAACAGAGAACAATAAACAAACAGTAGGCGCATAACACAGGCTACTGACAAGCCAACCAGCGGCCGAAGCAATCACAACCAGACGAAGTTGAGAAGCCATGATTATAGAAGTTGTTCAGGAAGCTTCTTTGTATGCTCACCCAATGCCTAATGAAATATCAGTTTCCGGAGACGAAATGTAGCTTTCTACTGACCGGTTTCTGGGGTCACGGCAGCCACCATAAGGAAGGAGGACAAAGGATAGCAAACAGGCCCTCGGATTATAAGACAAATCGTCAGGTCTATGTCCGATTTTATCGGATTACCCTGAAACTAAGCTAGGATACCCAAATAGCGTTTCAACTTCACTTTGTTGGGTAAATAAACTCTCCTTCAACAGGCTCAGATAGGGGAACACGATTTAAACAAATCGTCAGATTTTTCCAAAAATTAAGCTAGCACTTTAAGTCATTCATTTGCTACAAAATGAAGGATTTTGCCAACACCAGAGAGCGGCCAAATTCATGGAGCTTTTTGTCATTTGTAGGAAACGTTGTTAGGAGGCTTTTCAAAATAAACAAATAGGTTTCTTCTTCCCATTGCTATTATCAGGTTTTTGAGAATCTGGATATTGATCTGATGCTTGGAAACGCTCTCGGATCACACCAATAATTTGTGGTTTCAAAGTAGCCCGCTTCTAACCGTTTGCCGGGGTAATTTCCCCATGTTTCTATGAAATCAAATGGATTTATGATACACTAGAAGAAACGATTACATGTATTCAGAGAAACTCATAGGAATAGTCAGAAATAAGATGGCAAATACGTTTAAGTTAGGAAATTCTATTTCTGACCCACGTTGCCCGTTCGTGGAGGGTATTTTCTCTCTCCATATGTTCTGACATTGGTTCTAAAAATGTGATCTAGAAATGTGTGGGCATACGGCAGTTTGTATAAATCACATCCATCATAATGTGTTTCTAATAAATTCCGCTAACAACTTCATTCCTTTCTATCCGGAATTTTTGGTGTAGTTGAAAAATTCCGGAGTGCTTTTGGCTAATTCCAAACGCGAGATAAGACAATGGGCACACATCTCAAAACCTTGTTTGCTACTGCGTCTAGGATGCAGCTGTTGGACAGGATAGATCAGTAAATGACAGGGTCGATGGAAAGTGAAGAAGACATGTGGAAGTCAACCTTGGCGACAGCATTTCATCTGCGAAATTTTCTATGGTGATCCATGTGGAAATAAAATTCACTCAGACAATTCCTAAATAATTCAATGCAACTGGTATACGTGAAATAGTGATTTTCGAAGTTAACACATACCCTCACATCACTGATGTCTAAAAGAACTGAACTGTGGGTTATCCGGAATAATAAACATGGTTCTATTTGTCTCCATTGTATTGAGCGTATTGACACCCGATTATTGCTTATTTATCACCGATCACAATCCTCAACCATTGCAGAGTATGCATAACTGGTGAAGCGTTACTGACAAGCGTGCTGAGAAGTGATCCAACTTGACAGGAAACACCTTTTTCGTATGTTTGTTTATCCGAATGATATTCACAACCCGTGACGCTTGTCAACTTGAGAATATGAAGCACCACTACCACAGTTTATCGATTTTACCATATGACCTAAGATTCGTCCCATAAAGATAGCGTTTGCAATTTCCCAATAAACTAAGTGGTTATTAGCATGCGAACGGCTTATACAGTTTGAACACATGTTATCTATCGCCAGCAGTTTCGGTGCCCCTTCCATGTACAGAGGAGAAAAGATGAAAATTAGTGGAAATCCCCTTTGCTTCAAAAGTTCATGAGTTTGTTGCAGATTGGTTAAGTTACGTCGTATCGGATATCATGGCTGCCTTCGTGAAGGCTGCAAACTCTGGAGCAAATCGAATCGGCTTTCTTTGTTTTGATGACAGAGCACTTTCACTGCCAACAGGTTATTCTGAAGGAACGGTTTGCGGTAATATGATTCGGATAACCAATTCCACGCACTAAACAAGATTGCCGAAATCCTATCGCAAATTTTCTAAGAGCCTGGCTTCTGCAACTGAAGAAAACTCCTCTTATAAAATACAGTGCTTAAAGCTTTCTCCAGATTGTCGTTAAAAGTTTACTGTTTATTTCGACAAATAGACTCATTTGCATATCGATTCGGTTTACACGAGAGAACCAAACAAATCTTTCTTCAACTGAATGTGCTGCACGAGGGGCGCCTCATGTTCCAGTTGGTACAGTAGTTGAGATATCGCAGTACAATTTTTCATAGAGAAAACAGCTCACAAATTTGCTAAAAACTCTTCGACAGCCACTTCACCCTTCTTGGAGCATATCAGTTTTACTTGAACTAATTGGATTGAAGAATATCATAGACGAGAGATTTGACTGAGTCTCTAGTGAAAAGCAAATCGATATGCAGATGAGTGCATTTGTCGAAATACGTTCAGTTGGTTTCCGAGTAGGAAATAAGGTTGGCGGAAGCTCTGGAAGTGTGCCCACCTGATGAGCTGCATGAAGAGTGAAGATGGTTGTAGGCTGTCGCAGAGTTTTCTTCAAATTTATGAGCAGTTCCCTTTATGAAGAGTTCCTGTTTGTTTTTCCTGATTCTCAATAAGTTCGTTTGAGATAATTTGCAACTCTCGCTAAACTAACTGTACCTCATGGAAAAGGTGCCCAAGCTATCCTCATTTTTACATAATGCTGAAGAAGCAGAGTGACAGAAACAGAATGGTGGAAAGAGTCAAACTTGTGCCCATAAATAAAACTCTTGGCCTTTTGGATATTGCATGTCGATGTGTGCTTAAATGCACCCACCGCTCAGAATGAGATAAGTAAAATTTCAGATAGATGGCTAGGAAAATAGCGTTTAACTTTTTGAATTCTTTGGCGAGTAATCGACCGAGGTCAGCTTTCTAGAAGCATTTGGCAGTCATATTACATTTGTTGTGATATGCTGGAACAACAGAATGACTCAGTATTGTTTTCTACTTGTACGCGCCACTTGACTACATTTTCTCACCAGATTTTTCTGCTAATTTACTGGCTTTGCGACTAACATATTTATTTTAAATGACACCTCATTTCAACGTGAATCCTATTTGCAATGCTTAGATGACTAAAAGATACACAGCATTCTGATGCATTATAGATGGATGTGTGGTTATTATATTGGTGGGCCCAGTGGGTTAGCTGTTTGTGTTGACATTCTCACGATTCACGAGCCACAGATGAAAGCCAGTAGTTAGGTGCATACATATTGTTGAAATAGTGGAACAGAGAAAACCTAGCAAGAGTGGTGGATTGAATCACACAATCTTCACACGTACTCTTATTCCTTATGAATCGTCTCATCAGTTGTCAGGCTCAAATTTAAGTAAGCCGGATAATGGCTTAATGAAGTCTCTCTATCCTTCGGTTTTCAAAGTTTCGGGTGGAAAACGAAAAAGTGATTTTGCCCACATTAAGAACCAACTCGCTAGAAAACAATTGCAATTGCTCACCTTGGTTTTGCTACTGCTGTCAGCCCCATGTTTGAGTAGAGCACTGACAATCTCATCGGAATCCTCCTTTGTGGCCAAATGTAGGGCAGTGTAGCTGTCTTTTGTAGAACAGTTCGGATCAGCACCAGCATCAAGAAGCAAAGCGACCATCGGGCGATAATGGGATCTCACGGCTACATGAAGTGGCGTTTGGTTATCCTGTCATATAAACGGAGTTGACAAATTTTCAAGGGATTTTAGTAGAGAACCTACCATTGAAGCTAAACGACTGTTAAGAAAACACTAAGCAAAATTCAGCGGCTCTTCGCAGAGCATCTTAAATTCAGTAAACAGGAGTGTGTAAGAAACCGGGTTGATTACGAAGAATGCAGACGCTTGGTTGAAACACTTAAGTGGCACTAAGTTGACGGGTAAACGAGCACTTGTTAGTTCCGATTGCAGAGCGGGTGGTAACAGATCTAATCGCAAACCATGAAGTGATCAAGTAGAAGTGGAACGGACAAAAGAAAAAAGTGCCTACCCGGGTTTTTGCATCCACTTGGGCTCCATGTTTCAGTAAAACTTTAGCTGTTTCAACCTGGTTGTTTCTTGCCACCAAATGCAATGCGGTCTCATTTCTCAGGGTTGTCTGATTAACATTCGCCCCACGTTGGAGAAGCACTTCCACCGCATCGGTGCATCCGACAAATGATGCCACATGCAGTGGCGTTAGTCCAGTCTGCAACAAAATAAACGTGGAGTGTTCTTGACAACGCCTGACTTGTACTGAGCTAACAGCTGTTAGATGTGTCATGAATTACACATTTTGTTGAAGTATGTTGCGAAGTAAGTTAACAAAAAAAAGTTTGCGATAGACAGATATAAAGCACATTTTAGTAGAAATTTTATGCAGTTTCTAAAGAATAGTTGATTGGGGGCTTTTCAAATGACAAAAACTGCAGTTAATGAGGTGATGCCCTCAACATGGATTCTGACGAAGCTTCGCCTAGCATTTATTGTATCGATCTATTCTCACTCAATCTGACTCAGTGGTTAGAGCACCAGTTTATTGACCGGAAGGTATGTGGTTCGACCACGACCTCTTCCTCTCGATTTCCCCTATCTAGGCCTGGGCAACCGTGCATTATCCCGGCTCTTCTGCCTTCTTTGGGTGGCACTGTAGCTAGGCATCTAAAGGGTGTTACAGTTGAATGATTATTATTAATAGAAGATAGACCATGAGTGTCAGCGCTTCCTCTCGATTTCCCCTATCTAGGCCTGGGCAACCGTGCATTATCCCGGCTCTTCTGCCTTCTTTGGGTGGCACTGTAGCTAGGCATCTAAAGGGTGTTACAGTTGAATGATTATTATTAATAGAAGATAGACCATGACGTGTCAGCGCTAAATGAAAGTCATAGCAGTCAAAGTTAGTCATGCGGGACCATCGCGCCATTCTGATTTACCTTCACGGAGTTCTCCTCGCACGTGACTGGAAACCCTACAAACGAAAGGTAACCGGTCTGATTTGCGAGGACGGTCTTACCTCTCAACCTAAGGCAGTTTTCTTTGGGTGCTGGGTTTGTCTTTTTTGAGGGACCTAAAGTAGGCTGCATCAAACCTGCCGATTGTTTCTTGCTCTAGCATGATTCCCAAATGTGTTAATCTCAATGGGTTCCCAGAATGTGAGCAACCTATTGATGGGCGTCCTTTTAGGGACAGGGTGCTTTCCCTAATAGGTTCCCAGTTCCTCTTCACCTTTTAATAGAGTATTTGTTCTCCGTGGTTTTACGGCAGCTAGACAGCTGCTTTCCATGATTGAGTTTCTTCTGGTCGTAATATTGTCGATGAAGTATCCCCCAATATAACCGGGAAAAAATCGATTGTTACGGGTTAACGGATGCCGTCTAAACTGTATTAACCCAGGGGGAAGAGAACTGTTGGAAATCATGAATATAAGGTTTACAGTTTATCACCTGTTGCTCTAGACAAACAGAGTAGGTGGACGAGATCAAGTTATCCATACGCTTATGGAGACTTGAAACTCAGGCGTTGGGCTATTTGGTTAGAATGATTTGTATCCTATTAAACTAAAAACAGGTCTCGCATTACCAATTTGTCGTTCCGGTTTAGCTGCAGAACTAGTTCTTTTGCCTAAGATGCATTCCAGGTCATTGATTTTCATTATGTGTTTTACCGTTTAAATAAGTTGTCATCATAGGAAAGCTTTTTGCTTCGGCTAAAAACGGAGTTCTGGATGTGCACCCTAGCGTTTTGTCACCTGCACACCTTGACAATCTCACCGTCAAGTTGTACAACTCACTGGAAATATTGCTATACAGTAAGGCTGCCTAGTTTTGAAGTGGTTAGCTCTTGAATTCGACGGCCTACAGAGATTGATTGAGGGCGTACCAAATGCTGCCTAGCAGTCTGCTTTGCAAGTTTCACATCCTCTTTATAAGTGCCCTTGTTCCAGCGTTTCTTCTAACAGAAGTTTTTGCCGATAGCGTCTTTTGTGGTGTACGTCTGAAAAGCAGTGAACTGACCTGTATTCGGGCTCCTCTTCTAATTCATCTGGATACCTGGAAGTTTGAGGTTAATCTACTCTCTTTGATGTTATATCTTAACGAGGCTTGAAATTATTGAACACAGTAAATGGCTGTTGTCTATTTCATTGACTCTTTAGGGTAGCCAATGTATGCAGTCACTTGTGTCGCACCACCGTGGTCCAGTATATTTGTTCAGTTATCGGAAGCCCAGAACTAACCTTGGACCCAATCATGCGCCTTTATTTTTCGTGAAAGTTTTCCGCATCATTCTCCTCGCCTCATGCTTCGGATAATGCAGCATGGTCTAAATATTAGCTTACTAGGGGAAAGTACGGTGTATAAGATTTCTGAGCACTATTGTCTGACCCTCAGAAGCCTCCCAACACAATACAGCTGCATGAGAATGTACAGCAACCAAACAGCAAGAGAAAGCAAATTGGTGCATGAATTCACAAACCAGATTATGCTTTCCTAAATAACTTCAAAAACAAGCAGCATGCTGCTAAAGAGAGTAGACATTGACCATAGATTGTAATAAAAGTTTTATTACATGATTAACCCACAATCTCAAACAATTAATCCCCCACAAATTTTCGGATGCAAGAGGCTCCGAAGCGACTTCGACCAGGTGCTCACGTCTATGAAGTGATAACCAACTATTCTTCAATAGCCCTCGGCCAGCATCATTCTTCTTGAAGTTCATCAGGTGGGCGTAAACTCCGAGTTTCCACAAACCTTATGCTTTCCTTGAAACCGAACTTGCACGAAATCAGTGATATACACCCGTTTGAGAACCAATTTTATTTTTGCGGGAGGCTCACCTGGAACCCAGTTGAATCACTCGTTTATGATGCTTTTAAGCGACTGAATATGCTGCACCAGACTGTATGATATTCGGGATTTCGTGATATATGTATAGAAGTAATACAGTACTCATGAGGTTCCTGGGTTTCAGGTGAGTCTGTCGCAAAACAGATGAGTTCACAAATGAGTGTATATGCTATAGGCATTTACCACTTCATTCTACTCTCGATGAAGTCATTGAGGTTGATTGCTGATTCAAACCTACCTGGCCGATTACCAAAGCACGATTGTGGACTCGGTAAAACAAACCACTGAATTTTTAATATCCAACCCTTTATATGTTTCTTACCTTATCAGTGTTTTGGATCAGTAAATGAAACTAATGCAGCGTAGTCCTAAATTTACCATCACCCGTGGGATGTTTTTACTCATTCAGAAACATGAGCAAGTAAGTGACCACGTTTATCTACTTAGTTTACATGCGGCCAAAGTAACTGTCTGTCTTCCGCAGTGTAAGAGTAGAGTGAATTTGGATAGTGGATCTGAAATCAGCTTGTTCTGCGACATTGGGTGTAGTGTATTACCAAAAAGGCCTAGAAGGAGTAACCCGAACCAATGAACCACGTTGATACGAAAAGTGATCAGGCATATAATTTTCCGACTAAACCGGGTCTCCCTCTATCTACCACAACCATCGTATACGAAACACTCAGATCATATAGGTGGATCTCTGAAATTGCGCAAATAATTTGGTTCCAAAACCCCGAATCTTTGATGTATTTGGGCGGAGGTTCTCCAGGGCGGTAATGATCAAATAATAATGTTGTGTTTAGCATTCTGAGTGTATTTAATCTGTCGTTATGCACTTCTGAAATGCCATCGACACGCTGTTTAGATTGTTGTCACCGGATTATTGTGTATGACACCATCCATGTACATACTTGAGTAGTGCAGCGGATGCATACCATGGGCAGCAAAAGGATAAAAAATCAAGGTAGAATAAGCTCACGAGCTGCACATGAATTTGCATTGCTTTCAGGTCGGCTGTTTGACTATGATGACTGTAGGGTATTCGGGGATATCTTTGGGGTCAGTGTTAGTTCACTGAACAGAATAGTTTACTATAAGACTATGAGTTTATGGTCGTAAATTTCTAGTACGTAGGAAGCAAGCGAAATAGGTCCAAGCATATAGGCTAATGTACAATATGCTATATGCTCAGTGTGTGAACAAATGCAGTTCACATGGCTGTTACTGTACCGAACTGGTCCAATTCGGTACACATCACCAGATATTCTCAAAGCGTCCTGATTTGCACATGTGCACCAACAATATTGGCTAAGACAGAACGAGTGGGCGGGGAAGCGCTCTTGGCCTTGGACTCCATTTGGAGAGCTTCATCACTAAATCGATACTAACAAAATGTTCCAGGGTAAACTGGTCCGTATATGCTGAATATTAGTAAGACTCCACACAAAAAGGAAGGTTTTAATCCAACTACACTGGTTTCGACGGTAGTGTGATCTCTGGTAATTATCCCTTGGGATTTCGCCCTATAAGTGAAGCCCGTCTAAGCTGAGAAGGCGGAAAGCATCACATAGCTCAAACTCATTAGGAATAATCATCAGCACGCACATAATGAAACTTCAGGAAGTTTCCAAAACGTCAGTTTCTCAGCTAGTAATCTGAACATTTAGCCGTTATGCAAAAGAAGGACCAGTAGTGCGATTAACTTGCACTAAGGCTGGGTATCGCGCCACTCTTCCTTTCATCAAGGAAAACACATCACTTGGTCATGGCACATTGGGTGCCGAGTTCTCTTGCAATGCATATAAAACTTGGGACAGCAATGGCACAGACCAGAAAAAGGTAATCGTTTAGCTGTAACACCCTTCCGGTGCCCAACTACCATGCCACCCCAAGATAGCACAAGGACCGGGATACTGCCAAGTTGCCCAAACCTAGACAGGGGAAGTCGAGAAGCGAAGACATCCCAGCAATGACATGTTGCTTAATAAATCAATGTGGAAGTGCGCTGCAAAATATGGGATAAGCTGGCTCAACCAGAACTAAATTGTCGTTGGTAATTACTTCTTGTATGTTTATTTACGTATAAAAGTTGATTTTCTTCGGGGTCAACCTAGCGAAGAAGTACGGTCGATGTGCATGGACATAAAATATCAGTGTACGTAACTAAAGTGAGTCATACTTTTGGAAACTTTTAATTTTTTTAGCAATATTTGGAGCCCGATCAACAGATGAGGTAAAATCATTCTCGATCTTTTGAAAACTGTGGTCGGTTTTTGTCTTTATGACATTTACTGTGCTGAAAGATGTGGGTGCTGTATAAACTCGGTGTAAGGCAGATTGGATCCATGTTATGATGAGCTTTCTAAACCCCAGACTTAGAAGATTTTAACATCAATAAGTATGTGTTCCGTAGTATGTTCCAACAGTACAGTTTCCTAGAACCTTCTGCAGCCAATAACATTATCTTGCGGATGCTGATGCACGCCTATTGGAGTTATTCATTATTTATTTCACAAAATCGAAACCTGCTTTCCAAAGGGACCAGTTATTACCACCGATCATTTCATGGTAGGACAACAAGCCACTGGAAGTGGAAGAAACAAATTTCTAACTTCGAAGGCCGTAGTTCAAGTAGGCCTGTTACACGCTGGGATGTCTGGTGGCCCCGATGGGTTATTTGCCAAACCCAGCTAGGAACTTGCTGATTAGAAAACAGGGTCTGTTTGAACACAAAAGGGCCGTATCTGGTTATTTTAAACAATCTAGTAATGATGTGGTTCTCACTCTGTTCAGATTTTTATTTATTCACTTATTAGTGCTCAACAATTAGTACTATTAGTTAGTAGTAGCAATAAATATGCTAGAGGCTGCTAAATGAGAGGTTGAGCCACGAAAAGTACCACAACTTTAATTCACCGGCCGCACAAACTGGTTAATTGAACCGCGCCCCGAAACATTGGAAAGTAATCGTGTTTTCCCCCAAAGAGGACCCATGACGTGGCTTAATGAAAAAAGTGCATTAGTTTGTCTCAATTTTTTGGGATTTGACAAATTCTTCAGTGTTAAAATAAACAGGATTTTTTCCAGTTATTTAAAGCCTTTTGAATTGAAGTTATTACTGGGTTTTGGTTGCGGTTAACGGTAAAGAATATGCCAAGCTGGTGAAGGTTTGTTATTCAGCCTTGAAACTTCTTCTGGTTGTCAATAGTAACGACAACACAAAATCTGGAAGAACAAAGAAGTATTGGCAGTAGGTCTCTGTGTCAATGTAAATGGTTTCTGGCATTTCTTTTAGACTGTTGTTTTACAAGGTCCTAACGTAAAAGTCACCGCCCAGTCAGTAATTTGACGAGCGAACCCATTTCCTGGATAGATTACTGTCAAGGTTAAGGATAAAGTCCACTGTACATTCCATCCGCAGGTGTGCAAAGCATCACAAGACTGTGTCCCTGTTCCATCTAAGGACGTTTATCCCAGATCCGTGACCTTAAATGATGAGGTTGTCGAGAACTGTCAGTTGATATTTATCTCCCATTCGGGTAAACCTCGTTAGACACAGTAGCATCAATGTACACTTCAGTGCGCCATCCAATGACCCAGATATACCTCAGAAGGCATGAGAATGACAAAGCGCATTCGTGCGAGTGTAAAGAATGCAAAGTACTACGGAGCTAAACAAGCACGAATGTTGATGTTATATTTATGTGGAAGTTAATATATTTATCTTGAAAAGTACTGAGCTGATTAATCTTTTTATCTGATATGACCAGCTGAATTTCGCTCAGGTATTGCTGTTTCCGTCAGAAGGATGAACTTGAACTGGATAGCCTCGGTGAGGTTAATATAATGATGCGTCTAATCTTCGCAAGGGTTTGGTTTCATGATATGAAGTGAAACACAAATGTGCTATGGGAAAATTTTTTCGAGATTCGAAACAGCATATTTAGAAGATAAATGGAATGACTTTAGATAGAAAGTAGTCGTGAGAAAGTACAAATATAAGTTGCCAACTTTGGTGAGTTCTTTTGCGTTCGAATAATCTGTAAGAATTTAACATTGCTTGACATCTGGAATGAGGTGCTATAACTGTTCGGTTTACGTGAGTGCCTTAACGCGTTGGCTTTCCGGGATGCCACGGGCCAATTTAACTCGAACTTATTGTGCCTGGGTAGTCTGAGCATAAATTGCGTGTTTACATGTGTGGGCTTATCGCGGAAATTTGTTTTGCCGAATATAGGTTTTGGCAATGTGCCAAACAGCTGGATTGGGGGAGATTAATTTTTGCCCTCACGCACAGCCCGTATCACCGCAAATAGCGCGATATTGTCTCTGAGTGATACGGAGAGACAGCTGATACGCTTTGCAGATATAATGTACCATGTCTTTCCCCTTGTTTACATAAAAGTAGGACAAATTCGTGGTTGACATGATTTTCTAATAGGCATGTTTTCAGAGGAATGTTTTCCAGTAGGAAATGTTTTACACTGTTTGGAAGCATATTGATGCATATGGATGCACGTAGGTTAGATTAGCAAAATAGATGTTCTTTGACTCAGGAATGATACCGAATTCCCTTTCAAATTTGAGACGAGATGAAAGGATATTAGCTGGAATGAGCTACAGGTCACAGAATATGGATAAGTTAGTTTTTGTGTAAGTTTCTTCTTCCGTTGAACCTGCCCATGTAGTGGTATAACATATACCGCACATAAGGCATTCGAAGATTTTGATCCTTACAAGTGTTCTGGTCAATTTGACTGGGTATCACAAAAGCACTTACGAATCAGCAGAACGTAGGAAATTATTAAGAAAATCGATAATCTAGTTCACTTTTGCTGGTTACGAGAGTTTGGATTTCTAGGTCTAAAGAGGAATCGGAATAGATGAGAAGGGATAAAGAGTTATATGGAGGGATTTCGTAGGCGAATTTCCAGCTAACTGCTTCATTCAAGGCATTCTAGTGACGAGCATCGCTTCCGTTAGAATCTCACTAAATGCTGACTCTTTGGACGGCGGCTGAATAAAGCATTTCAAAATGTGAGAAGTGCAGGGAGCTATTGATAGCTCGTAAAACTTGGTTTGGCGACTTCCCATGTGGTTGTGATCGAAGAATCAAACTACAACTGGACGGAAATGATTTTTTACTAAACAAGGAACGCGTACAGTTTGAGAAGCAATATTGCGATTACATAAATGTGCCTAACTTTCACTCACATGTGGATAGCCACCCGGATTAGTAGAACTTTTTACCTGGCAAGCATTCTCCCAATCTATTTGAATTACATCAAAGTAAGGGTGTATTCGTCGGCGCACTACATTTTACACTCCACTTTATGACACATGACATTTAAGTTTTTTTCGTTAACATGAATTCAGGTTAACCGGTATGATGAACAACGTTCGTGTGGAGTAGCAACCGTGCAGTTTCTTCAATAAACATATAATGTCATGAAAAATCACATTCACACAAGTAAAAATGACAAGACTGATTGAGGACGTCCTGGTGACTGACGTGAAATGAAGCAGCTGTGTCAAAAGTTAACAAACAGTTGCGTGGCATATGTAGGACCCTAGTTTTTGCTTACGGTGTAAAGCTTGTTTTACTGGTGTTTCCTACCATTTTATTAACGAAACGACCCTCTATCAGCCATCAGGATGTGCCCGGCAGCCGGTTTTAATACTACCATAAGGGACCAAAGGAGATTTGGCCCAAGGTATTTCCTTTGAGATTCTTCTGGCGATCTGTTCTGACCATCACAAATCGTACGAAGATATGAAATTTGTTCAGGACACTGTCTTGGACGCGTAAGGTCTCATTGAATAGAACCCAACCGTTTTTATGAATATTCGGTCAACCAACTACTGTGTGTTGAGTCACGTACAAGATATTAGAATGGTCTACACATTGTTAGGCTTACAAACCGCCATACTCTGAATAAATATTCACATACCTCAGTGGCTGCTTCCAACAGTGCTCCATGTTTCACAAGCAGTTCCACCACGTCCTTTTTTGACTTTTTGCTCGCAATATGAAGGGCAGTAAAGCCATTCTGAAAGTACAATTGAATACACTACTGATAACAGACGAACATTATTGTAGGCTTTCGCTGAGTGCACAGAAAACTTTATTTACTTAATCATCTGGTCAACTGCTATGAGCCTTTCGTGCTTTTCTTTTACGTGACTTTGTTTCCTTTTGATTCTCTGCATTCTTGTAGCTGAAATTTGATGACATAAACCTAGGTTCATGCGAAGCCAGCACGAACCTTAAAAGCTGCGACTTTCAGAAGTATACTTTCTTACTTTATTTATAAGCTTATGTGAGGAAAACTTTTCCTTTTGCTGATCAAACTTTCATTGTACAGAGAACAGTGTGGCTGTTGCTTCTACCAGGAAAATGTTCAGTGTTGTAGTCGAAGCACTGCTTGCCTGGCACTAAGCCCTACAGTGACGAAATCGCCTATTAGAAAGCGCATGAATTAGGCTGTAGTTTGTTTCCATTAGAATTCGTTTGCTTCCTGCATAAGACAAGATGAGCAGCTTCAAGTTGACAAACATCACGGATGAGATTGATACTACGGCCGATAGAGTGACACCTTGACATTTATTAAAATTGAATTAGCTGGTACGCTATTGGAGGCAAACTATGATTTCTCTTGACCACGGTATACGTAAACCACTCGAAAATAATAAGTGTGATAGTACTATTGGTGTATTTAACCAAAAAATTTACTCTGTTCAGTTTGAATCTGAACACTATCAAACTGGTGGGTGCTAGCATCCCTGCTTGATTCACCCAGATTATCTGATGAGTTTTTGTGTTGGACCTCGTCTTCGAATACTCACTGGGGTAAAAGCCGTTGTAAAATGGCTTCAAACAAGAGACTGAATGTTACTTACGTCCCGCGATCGTTGCCTTTGTACCCAGGGAGGCAGTAAGGAAGACCACAAAGAGGAAATCCGACAAGTTCGGTGCTGTTTCTCATGACGCGGCGATGGTTTAGGATTGGACGAAGAACTCGACGAAACTGAACTTGTGCACGCGCAAGGAATTTTCCCAATAAATTATTAAATTTTGTTAACCGCAAACTTTTGTTTCCAGTGCTATGATTTTTTAATGCAAGTTATCTCATGAAGAACCTAGGAGGTTTTCGGAGATGATGCAGTTTGAAGTGGTTCGTTTCAAGAAGTTATTGGACCGATTTTCAGAGGTATCAGGTGGCTGCTATTGGCACCAATAATGGAACCTCGTGTGAGCGTGAATTTCGCTGCTGCCACAGAGTTCTTAGCGCAGCATCTTGGAATAGTAAACAGCAACCGATTTTAGCAGGTGAGTGATAATAATGCAACCTAGTGAATCCATTCTATACGTTGTAGAATGTGTAGACGTACATCTCAATATAGTATAACTGTCACTACCCGTTTCACATCACCTGTTTTGAAGCCTCGTTTGCAACACGGCTTCGTACATTTTTCAACTAATCCTCGGTTCAAAAGGTATTCTGTTCGCATTTCAGACTACAGCTCAGGATCTGAACAGGTGCTGGGGTTGTCACTTTGGCGTAATTGATTGTCTGAACACAGAATGCTGCCATCGGTTTAATGAATATCTTAGTTTCTTAACTATAATCGTTGACTGTGAGACAGAAGTTGAGTGCTGTCAGTCACACTGGATTCCGCCTCAAAATGTTATTCACACGGAGAAAATTTCAGTAATACTAGTTCATGCAGACGATCAATCAGTTATGGATTGAAGTGGTGTTAATTGGAGACTACACCGAATTTTGCTAACTTTCTTGTTTAAAGTATACTTCACATGAAAATGTTGATCGAAAGCCCCCTTGCTTTTTAGATGAGTCTGATTTCTTCGCCGCAGTGAGACTAGGTCTTACCCTTAGCGTGACGGTTTGTGCTCCAGTTATCCACTGAGCTGTACAAGAGGATGATGCTGCCTCCCGCGAGGTTGGTCAATGGATAAAGGGATACAGTTTTTTGGCCCACCAGGTTAGAATAACTGTGGCAATTTATCCTTAAATGTTTTGGATTCTTAAGTTGACTTGGGATTAAATGTTTGAAGTCGGAGCATTGGTTAAAGACTGAAATCGTTCACCAGTCTAGGTTTAGGAGTGCGGTTATTTAGCCCAAATACAATCATGGAGTTATGATTGCTAGGATCGGCACAATTTACCAATGTATTACTGTTTGTGATGACGCGGACGATCTTGATGACGAGTATTTTTCTCGATATGATATTACTCGCATATTTGGTGGAAACTCCTGCAGGCCCACTATCGGTTTCTTCTTAGGACCAGTACGTGGTCCTACTCTTCAAAATTGAATCAGATGAAGAAATCGTAAATTCCAACTGAGTGTGTGTGTGTGTGCGTTTGTCCGATTATGATCGAGGAGAACCCAGGGACGCGGTGTTCGCGGTAATTCTTAAAAGGGAAAAAGCCGGTAGAGTGCTGTGTAAAAGTTTGCAGTAACTTTATGAGTAGTGTCATGCAGAAGCTGCTTTGGGTTTGTCTTAGCACGATCCCAAAGGCTGCATCAAAGGCGAATGTTGACACACAATGAGTTCGGAAGCGAACTTGAGAGAGTAGGTAGAAACAAGTTTGTGGGTGCTTCTCTATGGTCACCAGTGACCAGAATATTCATTCCGTGGTGGTCTTATTTAACATACACCTCGTCAAGCGAAGTTAGAATTGTACTCAGTTATCCACCGGCGAATGGTTGAAAACTTACCAATGCCCGAGCATTTACATTGCATTGTGCCTCCAACAGTGCCAGTGCCACATTCACACTTCCACAATGTGCTGCGACGTGCAGCGGAGTGAGGTAATCCTAAATGACAACAGAGGTAGCATTATGTGAGCACTAGTGTTAAAGTTGTTAGGCGAGTCAATCCGTGTGGTCTTGCTCAGATTACAAAAGTTTTGTTGTGGAATACAGACCACTTTGTTTGCGGTGTTTGAGAAAAGTCTGTAATTATGCGATGAGGGGACGTCAATATGACGAAGGACTAAAAAAACACATCACAAACTCCAAATCTGATTTGATTTTTCCACCGGCTTAACGTGCCATGTTTTATTGCCATCATTGTCGTTTTGTTTGTTTTTAAAAGATATTCTGTTGTGAGAGGAATTAGCTGGTTCAACACCTGATAAGATGAAGCCTGAATTCTTAAGCACCCCCCGAAAACCTGCGACATTCAGTCAAGAAATTACATTTTTTAAAGCTCGTATGCATCCTTGACCTTCAACCTTGGGATAATACATCTAATAGGAAGCGAACCAATGTAAATTAACTTTCACATACAGTGAAAGAGTGACAGTATTCAAGAAATGAAATTTGGCGGCCTTAGCATCCATGAAGTACCAACTGATATGTCCATTTGGCGGAAAGCTTAATATCTAAAAGTTATTGTTTAACACAAGATTGTTTCGAAGACAACAGCTAGAGGCCATGTTGGAAAACTGCCACCTAACATTTAGCAAAATTATTCTGGGTTTTCGTATTACTTTTAGGAGAAGCGTCTATTGCTGTTTCAGCTAGATAATATTTTGTTGATGCAGGGTTTAAGCAGTAATACTGGGACTTCGTGATAATGAGGTTGATTTTGTCAGCTAGTATGCTCATAGCACCATCCTGAAGAATATGGTACTTTCCGGTTCCCAATCCGTGGTGACCACTGGGCTGCTGTTGACTAACTAAACAGATGCAATTAGTGGTCACAAAATATTCAAGCAAAAAAATGGTTCATGAGAGTTTGGAAATATTCGACAGCTTTCAGCTCATATTTCATCTTGCAAGTAAAGTCAGTCTATAATAAGAACCCTCGGAGCTGCTTCATCCTTGTTGCAATTAATCAACAATGGACATCCCATGAACCCCGAAGGAGGTTTTGTAAACTGCAAACCCCTGGGTAGACGGCTTAACCACAGCCTTTCAACTCCGAGTTGTGGATCTGCAGTTTGAGTAATTCGTACTTTCTCTCGCAGTATTTTTCGCCACTGGCATGAAAGCAAAGCGCCTTGTATGAGTGGAATATAACTGAATTTTTAAAACCACGTGTACTGGAAGATTATATTTGCAGTCCCTAACAACATGAATGATGATGGTTTATGCATTCACAATTACCCTAGTTCTAGAACATGCGTGGCACTTACACCAGAGGGAACGCGTCTTCTGTACAAGGTTGTTTATATCCATACCGCCCCAATGTTATATGCAGCCCTTTTAAACATTCAACTTGGTATGTCAAACTTATGCATGATCGTATAAGCTTATGCTTCGCAAGCGGGAAAAAGATGACTGCTTGCTCGTTGTGCTGAGGTAGGCGGAATCAGGTTGGTCGGACACATTTTTTGATGTACGGTCATCTATTGTTTTTAACATAAGCTCATTGAGAGGATGTGCTAATTCGCACTCTAATCCAACTTCTGTTTGAGCTGAAGGTGAGCTACATCTGTAGACATACCGTTTAGAGTATAGTGAATGACCATAAGAACGTCCCTGAATAAGGCAAGCAACCAGATAGTGACTAGCTCATGGTGCCATGGTCAGAATGAACTGCAAATCCGGTCGTCAAGTACAAACAATCCTCCTCTGAGAGAATAGGCACTCAAGTTCACGAACGATCAAGGAATAAGACATCTTTATGGAAATCACAATGACTCCACAAATTATTTATCGGTTTTTTCCGTAACGCTGCGGGCAGCATAAGTTAAACCTACTAAATAAGCTTACTGTTAGAATGATTTTAGAAAACCATACATATGTGGTAGTGCACCGGGTTTGGCACTAACCTTCAAGGTTCTTATCCCAATTAAAACATAAGGTCTGAAAGTTGACTAATCGGCCACCGATAGATTTTCACTTGGGTACTCCAACCATGGTTTGAGTTCTTGCATCATAAACCACAAACGGTTGATGGGACTTCATAAATTTGAGACAGCACTTAGGATATCTACTTTACAAATTTACGAATTCTATACGATCCACCTAGGTAAGTATGTATTTTGATGCTAGTGTAAGAAGACTTAGCAACTTTCAGCTAGGTTTTGTGACTGATCCAAAGTGTGATTGGTTCGCACTTAGAGAGAATATAGCATCACTCATAGTTCAGCCGCGGAATCCATATTATGCGGTCACGTGTTGACTGGCTGCTCGGGTGACAAGTTCTCAGTTGGAAGTGTCACTAATAATCTAGGTTTTGTTTATTTATGGATTGTTGATGTTGCTAGTTGAGTCTTATTAGCTGCACACTGTTGGTCACAGTACACACTGTATTAATCAGATGCGTTCATGTTGTAGTACAAACATGATAGGTATGTCTGTTCCATGTGGCTCACTACTAACTATCTAATTTTGGTTTGGCGCAATGAATTCAGTGAACTACAGAGTGGGTACTTAGATTTAACTAGAAGCAAGACGGTTCCGTAGGTGTAAATGAATACAAATAGGGTGAGAATGAATATGGGGAATAAACATTTGCTGGTTGCCATTTTCAGTAAGAAGGTGAAATGCACCGATATGACCTGATTTGTTGAGTGAAGACATAATGCCATGCTGTCCGCTGTAAACTGAGTTCCGATCCCAGCCCAGAGGCATTTCACTGTAGAATTCCAACGGAATCAAGCTGTAAAATTGATTACTTATCAAGGAACACTTCCTTTACTGGGATACTCATCATCACAAATGTTTATGTGTGCACAGTACTTGCCGTTGTTTTTTCATTTACATTCGTGCACTTTGGGAGAGATAGGACTCATGTATTGAGGTTGCACCCGGCAAGCGAATGCATCCTACTCTGAAGGCACGTTACAAGCAAAATATAAAGGTTATGATAACCGTCGCAAAACTAACAATACTGAGGATAGGCTTCTGGACAAGTATATACACCAGCAAAGATGTAAATGATTGGAATGAAGTTGAATACCTGTTTGATGCCCCTCATCCACTTATTTTTTATTAAAAAAAATGCGGACATACAAAAATTAAGTCACTGATAACTTATACAATAGGCTCTAATTTACACAGAAATCAAGGATATTTTTGACTTATTGCAGTGATGCTCAAAACCATATATTTTAACCAAATACGTTTCTATACGTACCAGCAAAAAATTGCAGCTAATCAAACACCGGTAGGCTTGGCCAGCTTTGGGATAAAAATACTTTTATTTCAAATTTGCCGAAGAGAGCCTAATTAAAAAAGAATCCAAAATCAAGCTAAGCTGATATTTGGCAAATCCGGGAAAAAACTAATCATATAGTCAGCAACCAAATCATTGAGTCGTCACGTCCATTGTAGAGACTTTGTTTCCTCGATCAACCGTTTAACCAGGAATCTCTGGTTGTTAGCACTAGAACGGTGATTGCACCCGTTTTCATTTATTTCCCTGCCATTTGGAAATCAGTGTTAAAAGTTGACCCATAGGAATGTTGAGTAGCTCTGTAGACCAAATTGATTAAATATGTCTGAATGTGTAACATCATGAGGTACAAACCACGGAGGAGATCTCGGTTTAAGTAACTAAGGGAATAACTAGAAAAGCGATACAACGATACAGAGATTCACTAGAATTCGAGCGAATTGAAAGATCTGTCCTTATTGGTCCTCACCCGGGACAGGTGCGTTTTCGTATGACTGTGATAGTAAAACTGAGTAGCGACCTAGAGTTTACCAGCTAATCGATATACACTCCGAGGTTGCACGTTCTTTGCCCAGCTTCCCCTTCAACGACATAACGGTAAATTTTGTATTTTAGACTAAAACTCGTGATGGATTATAAAGATAATAAGCAAGTAAATAAGTGAGTAGGTGAGTTAGTAATTGAATGAGTGAGTAAGTGAGTAATTAAGTAAGCAAGTAAGTGGGAAAATAAGATCCCCATTCAGGGTTTCTGATACAGAACGATCCTTTCTATATGCGAGGATCTCTACACTGGAAACTACAAACGTTCCCATGCAACCTGATCACATTGATGCCTGATCAAAAGTGAACCGCAGAGAATTAGGTAAAGGTATCATAAAATTAGAACGTCCGATGTTTCCTAATTACAGATGCTTTTTATATCTCCTTATAAAGAAATACTGTGAGTGGATTTTGATCCACATTTAGTTTCCTCCATAAACTTGTTATTAAGTGAAACCATGAACATCCACCTCCGTTTCTCGTTTCAAAGTATACATGAACAGTCACTGGCTATCCATGGTGTCTCTAGAATACCAATGGAAATGGACTGACTCTCAAGGTTAAAACGTAATGATTAGAAAGTTCTCTGTGTTTTGCTGTTTTACTGGAGATCCCTTGGGTTTAGCTCCAAAGATTTTTACAGTCCCTTCTGTCTGATTGCAGAGAATGGTTGCTTTTAATCCCTGTGTGACTCACTAAACTCACTGACTGCTAGATTAAATTAAACTGACTATGTGTGGATAGACAAGGCGGGGAGAAAACACTCCGTTTACCATGGGAGGCTGGAAACCATGGTGACTATCAACGAGACCGATCAATTAGAGCACACCTCGTTACCGTTTTTGTTTACACGGTTGCTAGTGCTTCTACCAGGCTGCTAACTGTTGCCAGGTTGAAAAGGAGGCGTGATAGACAATTCTGAATTTCCTGGGATGCATTGGACTTGTAATGTTGAAAGCAGACATTCTATCACAGAGAAAATGTGACAGTGCATAATGCCCAAGAGACTGGAAGTACGTCCTGTTTACAAGTCTGTAGATTTTGCACTCTCTACTTTTGAAGAATATGTACCTCCCAAGGGGTGTAGTTTTATTGTGGTGCAATCAAGGAAGGATAATTTTTCTTGCAGTGCTCATAGTCCCCAGAACCCCAAGATATGCATTTAAGTGAGCAGTTAAATGAATTACACAGATTCCTGTGTTTGAGCCATCTGTGGCGAGAATGAATGGACATTGTGAGTGTTCGTTAATAAACAGTTATTTCAGTGTTTCTGGGGGCTTGTTTTCTGTACATTACCTGGCCACTTGTGCACTGCATCCGAATAATGAACAACCGTTAGGTGCGTGGCTGAATGGTACATCTGCAGTCACAGTAAGGTTGTGAGCACTAATTAATTCAGTCAGGTAACTTGTACGGGCAAAATTGTGAAGTGAGGCAAATTGACTTCGCATAGTCTTTTGGTACCCAAGAAACATGAAAATTTAATCGATTGATGATTTGCTTGTAGATCTCAGCCTCAGTGGTGGTCAAACAATCGAGAGCCGTTTTCCAAGGTTAACACGAAAAACGGTGCTATCCATGGTGAATCACATTGCCTTGCTAACAAGTCAGAGCCCGTGTGTACACTTTCAGCTGGTATTCAGCAATGAAAAATAGTGAGATTGGTTAAATAGCTGCCTGAGCACATAGACACGATCAGTCTGATGCAGATGACTGCAGATTTAGAACACATTTGCCGTTGAATAAGATACCCCAAGAAAGGAAACAACACAACATGGATAGAGCACATGGTAGGGTTGAACAGTGGAAGGGCGAAACCAACTTATAGTTCTCACTAAAGAGTTCCGAAAAGGCTCTAGTAAACAAGCCAGATTTTTCAGATGTCTGTAATAATAACCATGACGTTCAGTTTTTATGAATACAGGGTGGAATTGCACCGGGTTAGGTTATTTTACTTCTATCCTACATTTCACAACCGTGACATTCAGGATAACTTTCATAAGTTTGACAACGAATCCTACCTCCCTAGGAGACAAACCAGTAATTATTTGTGTGTAGATACCTGTATAGCAAACAAGTACAATTTTAAACACATACTTACCACCGTGATGGCATCTGGATTTGCACCAGCACGTAGCAATAGGCGAGCGACTTTTTCGTGATCTCCTTGAGCACACATATGCAGAGGAGTTAACTCATTCTGAAAACAGAGCAGGGTGATTTCGGAAGTAAATTGGTTATTATGCTGTGGTATTCGGATTGCTGCGCATAATTCAGTTGATCTTCATAAGTATTGTGGTGGCTGTATGGTTGAGCTTGATCATCTCATTGTGTTCCCAATTAGGCCGATAAAAACACTGTTGTGATTAGGCTGTCTGCACAGAATTAGGGTTTGAATTGAAAACCACCCAAATGAGAAAACGCTGTTTCAAGTCCTCTGTCCATAGTAAAAAGAACAGCGCCACGTTGTTTGACAATATTTTGCATACAATGTGGTAAGCTTTTTCTCAGTGTAACGTTCGTCATGTCAGTGTTATTCCCGGTCAGTTGTATTCAAACTGATCTGGTGTTATCACGCCAAAGTAGCAGTGGTTACCCTGCCGGAAGAGAACTGCCGTCCAGCTGTTACAAATATGTAAAAGCCTAACTTAAGCTTGCGCACAATCATTTCCTCTCATTCCCTATTTTCGATCCTAACCAGCTCTTGCACATTAAAGAACAGTTACTCTCAAAGACAATTAGAGTTAATTCATAAAAACTATATCTCAATATTTTGTATTCAGCCTAACGTTAGTATTTGCGCTGTTTTAGAGACAATTTTGAAGCAGACCTTTCGCATTTGAGGGACGCTGACAGTGAGTGTTATGGGAAGGTGATACATCTCCGATGACTCACTTTTGTTTTCAGGCCGACGTTCGCTCCCGCTTTGAGCAGTGTCTCCACAACATCCCTATGCCCTGATCGTGCTGCGCAGTGTAGCGGTGACAAACCATCTCGCGTCCGCGCATCTATTTCTGCACCACAGCTAAGCAGCTGCTCGACCAATTCGTTTTTTCCCCACTTGGACGCGATATGCAATGGTGTGATAGAATTCTGAAGGCAGGAATTTACGTGAAAACGTGAAACAAAAGCGGGATAAAAAGCTCCGTAAGGATGCATTCAACATAGATCCTAGTGATTCCCTTCTACACTTAAAGAATGGTATAACGTGGAATCCAATTCCAGACTTCGACCCTAACACGCGCTAAGAGGAAAGTAAATATATCTTACAATAATCAGATTAGAAATCTGATGCACTTGCGGCGATAATCAAAGGTGGTTCCTAATCACTAAGCCCTCCAATGATTATTTAACCCAATTTTTTTTGCCTTCGCTAAACTGGCTATAAAACAAAGTTCAATAAAGGAGGACTACTTTTCATGTTTCAAAGTAAACGTGAATGCTTTCGATGACTGACCTTTGCAGCATAATTGACATTTGCACCACGCTGAAGCAGGAGCTTTGCAATACCGGAATTGCCGTAATGAGCAGCGATGTGAAGCGGTGTGAAACCACTCTGTCGATTGGAAAAAAACACGGAAATCAGTGAATCAACACTCATTAGTAGCGGGCAGTGGCAGATATAGGATTAAACTTTTCGGCTTGCTTACAGCATAAATAGTTTTATTTAAGGAATTAAAGCATTTAGCAAAGTCTAAAAAATAGATTGTGGGAAACCTGGTTGCGTAGTTTGTCCGAACTCAGGTGTACTTCATACACCAATTCGGCTTACAGGTTTGGCCAGCTTACTTAGAGATAACCGTAGTACTTTATGCCTTCACGCTCAGCAGCCTAACGATCAAAGGGGATTTTGAAGTATTTTTTTCCTATCTTCATTACCGGCGCGAAGTCTGGGAACGAAAGGAAATAATTTGTTTTTCCGGTCCTGTAAACGTTGCCGATGAACCTTAGGTCTATTAGAATAAGTGCACCAACCACGCAGAACTGCCCTTACTATCATCATCTGGGGTGAACATTTTAATTGCCACATCAGCAAACGTAACGCACGTTGAAGATGTGTTCAATCGAAATCAGCGTACATGCAATGTTAAAAGTACCATGACCACAACAGCCTGTACCGAAAAATTTGCACCTATGGAACCTGAAACATCGAAGAAAAACACCATTTTCATCGACAATGCGGGGAGCTTCACTTACATCCTACCAAGGCGGCTAGCTCAGACCATTGACTTACCGTGGATGCATGGTCTACATTGACTTCCGGGTTATTCAGCAATAGGGTTGCCGAGTGAATGTCATTCTTTTTTGCAGCGATGTGCAATGCCGGCAGCCGAGTTTTTCCGCGGGAATCGCGCTCCAATAAAACAGCGACAATGCGCTCATGTCCTTGTTGCAAAGCCACCGCTAGTGGACTGAAACCATCCTGTTTTGTCGAGTAAAAACGAAGGCAGTAGAGTTTTGATGATCGAAATAGGTTATGGAAGACGAATTCATGTGAAATCTAGCCAATTTGACCCAGTAACTACTTTGATTTGTTGTCCTCGAATAAATGCTAACGACTGAATAATGATTATGCAAGGTTGAAGACAAGTTGTATGCCGACCGTATATATGAGGACCGTAATTCCATTTCTGTTAAGCATGCGCGTGTGATAGAAAAATTCAACCATACTTGTGGTTTTTTGTTCTAACGATAAAAGCCACAAATTATGGCAGTAGTGCCTACGAAAATTTCCAGCGCGTCAGGGACCCCATCTTAAGCACTAAGAAAATTTTCTGGCCAAAGATCAAGTATTTTTAGTAGTAAACTGTAAACCGACGATGTATGTGAGTTTCGGGTTGGCCACTTGCGCTGGCTAACTGGGGGGAGCCATTAGTTGAAGAGTTCATGGGTCTTTCATACATCCCACAGTTTGCGATTACGACTTTTTCGAATTGGTTAAAAAGCGCAGCAAAGATTGTATGTCGGAATCAAAACTTCCAATGTAGACCGGGGGCTGAATTTCCCATTTTCCAAGAACTTAAGTTCGAGGGGTTTCTAGGTAGAGCGAAGTACTTGTTTTAGAATTATGTTAATGATGAATACTGACCATTTTACAAAAGTAAATATTTAAGTATGAAGTGTACCTGTTTTCTTCTAAGGCTACAACAAGTAAACAGACATCTATGGCGGAAAGAACTAGGAAATTTGCGCGAAATTAAGTCGCAACCTAAACCAAAAGTGATAGCGCAAGTTTCGAAATCAAAGATAACGTATACGTCACAATAACCTCCTTCACTAACTAATCACCCGAAGGAAAATATCCTGCTAAAATAATCAACGCGGGCACGTGACATTTTACTGCAATTTAAACAGACGGTTTATTATTCGACAGAAAAGAATTGTTTGATTTATACAACGGAGAAAACGTGCCCTACCGGAGATATATCTAGACAGAGTTACTTATTCGCAACAAAAGACATAGGCAGCAAAATTCCAAAAGCTGGGATCCTGATGGTAGCAATTTATCACAGCGGGTTATGTGCCACCCAATTGAGAATGACAAAATTCAGGCATGCTTGCTAAGTTACGTTCAACAGACTCATCTCCTTTGACCAGATTGCTGTTCATCCTGCATGTAAGTTGCATTTGGTTTGGTGGTCAGTAGCTCAAAGAAGCAAATTCGTGGAAATAACCCTTATTACTGAAGGCCATTTATCATTGTCAAATGATTAGCCACAAAATTTCTAGGTACTTTCATTGAACTTAGTATTAGTAGAATACTTTCAGTGGACCCTGCTCAGAAAATCTTATTGCACTGTCATTAGTTGGTAGAATGGTGATTGTGAATATCACACTGGGGGGAGACGACATTCAAAATACTCCCTGTAGATATGACTGTCATTACTGGAGCTTTCACATGATGGTAAACGGATAGCATTTCGAGTATTTCTTTCTGTCTAAAATTTTCAGGCTTTCGATGTCACTCAAGCCGTTTTGGATGCTTTCTCACCCAATTTACTGAGAAATATCTTGGCTGCAGGTCGTGATAGAATCGAATATTTAGCCGTGAACAAAAATAGCCGTTTTTGTTGGCCACTAGTACTGAAACTCCTAGCAAGGAAAGTGATAAGCGAAACAGTTTGCAAGCTATTTAGTATTGTCAGTTCGAGTCAATCCAACAACTGCGGCCATCTTACTATGCAGTAGACAGCCCTCATTTATAAACGAAAAGTGGCGTTGTTCAGCGAGCAGATGTCCGTCAATTATTGTACACGACGGGACTTTACGAGCCTTAGGTTTACAGTGTACTAGTGGTAGCGGTTTACCATATTTTTGGGAGTTTCTGAACACGTTTTACTCTACCTCATTCCAGACACCATTGCCTACAAGAAGTCAATTATCCATTATAAATATCGATAACCATGTTCACTAATGCACTTAAATAGTACACGTTATAGAGGCAAAGTTCCTGATGATTTAGTGGGTCTATGTGACCCTCATCTCAAACAGTACATTTTGTTTTTGCATTAAAAGACTTCATATGAGCTACTGTACGTGAAGGGGCTCCTGCGTACGAATAAATCTCTAGTGCTTGGCCAAAAAACCTCATCCGATTCATATATTCCAACAATATTTTGCTGAAAATTTCCTGCACAAAAATCCATTTTCCTTTGTTTTTCTAACCTTTTATATAAAAGCCAGGTAAAACCGGGATTATAAACCATTTGCTTGTGTGAATAATCATAAAATTCGTTCGGTTATTGGTTGTTGTCGCATTTTTTCTGAATACGCCATGTTAGGGTTTGTGAGATCACGTTTGTTTGTGCCAGAAGTGTTATGATTAGCGCATTAAAAATATCTCGATGATGTACCAGCCATTTATGCCACAACTAGTGGGTTCTCATCATCAACCCTTTTTTACTGGAAAATCCAAGAAAGTTTGTGGACGCCTTTCCTAGCACATTTTGTAATTTTCAAGGGGGTTGTTTCATACCAAAATACTACCATATAAAAAGGCAGTCCTGAGAACCACAACTTACCTCAGTAGACAAAGCGGGGTTCGCTGAGTGATTCAACAACAAATTAACAACCTCGACGTGATTTTCTTGCGCAGCCATATACAACGGAGTGAATCCATTCTGTACAGGGGATCGCAAGGGTTACATGAGGAAATATTGAAAGGTAGTCAGACGAAATTTGAGTGAAATGCTAAGCTAGGCAGAAGACTCAGGGTCAACACGTATCCGCACAAGCAACGCACACGGTGTCTGTAAGCAACAATGCTCTGACACCAATTTACCGGATGAATCAACCAATCCCCTGATAAGATTGTTCTGATAGTCTGTGGGATAAAATAATGACAAATCAATTGTGGTGTTGTGCGCTCAGGTTAACTGGCCGACATACAAAGTAGTACACTGTCGGGTATCCGTTTGTGTGTGTGTGTACAAATGCATGTTTGCCTAGAGGCTCAAATGTCATTCTGCTTAAGTTTTGTAGCCCAGTCTGTCGTATTATTATTGTATGCATGCTTCTCAAGTTGAACTTGAGAATGTCACACCCTCTCGTTTAGACCGCACTGTGTTTTCTGTTGACGAACAATCATCGGTCAATCAAACATTTGAGTCAAACACACTGGTGGTCAGATTTCTTCGCGGTTCAATCATAAAAAACTGGAAATATTATTGAAAAGCTTAGAAAACACACAGGTGGTTTAAACACTATGTTAAGTTATGCTAAAGGTTTTCTCATCAGACGATAGTTTGGTGTGTATCACCTCAAAATCTACATAGACGGAAGTGGAGGGAAATTTGTTGTTAATGTGGTGGAATATTGGTAGCTCGGGTATATTGGTTGTTAATTGATCAGGTGACTGTTGATTTGTTCGCCGAGCTTGGCATCTTCAGTGCGCTAAAGACGTCTCCTTGGATGGTGGTGAAACGTTTGCAAATCTATATCCAAGCTCGTCGAACAGATCAACAAACACCTGATCAATTGCCAAGGAAAATTTGTTTCACATAGCAAGTTCCATCTCTGAGTTAACACAACATTTAAATAACTGTATAACGTTAACATAATCAACGCAAGACGCAGGTCGATATTAGGAGCCAAACTGCATAAACCCATCAAGGTTGCCATACCAACAAACAGTGGCTGTTGATGGATTATTTTTTGCATCCATTCTCTGTGTCCGAATAAGAAGGATCTTCTAATAAAGATGCCCATTTATATCGCTGAGGACATATCGCACAGAGATGACTTAGACAGCTGTGAATATGGATATGATGTCTGAGGTAGTTCAGTGACATATCTGACAGAGGATAATATCGATGGCCCTAAAAATAGCCACAGGGACCATGCAAGTGCAAGGACACGACGCATTCAGGAATTCATCAGGGAAGGAAACCAATATTATACTGTCAGCAGATAGAAGCAAATCGTGGTGATTTTTTACACATCACGACTCCATTGTGGAATGAAGGAAACTATGATAAATGAGCTCCGTGGATACTGATTTGGCACAGTCTTATCGTTTTCCGAAACTGTATAATGAACGAGCTGCATGTCACAACCATGGAACTCCAGCATACACTGCAAAGGAAAATTAAGGCATCTGCACACCAAACCAAGATGCACAGTAAACAATAATGGACAATTTATAACTAATTTTTTCAACTCTAATATAGACGGTAACGAGATTATTTTTGAGTTTAGCGTCACTGGCCTGCTCACACCGACTATAGTGGACTTATCAAGGTGACCATGGCTGAATAAATTAAAAAGAACCCAAATGTGAAAGAAACAATGAAATCAGAAGGTAGGTGCAGACCTGAAAATCTGTGCATCGCTACGCACTTCAAATTTGTGGCACAAGATTGCAGATGGCTGAAAGATTCCAACCGATTTTCAGATTCATGGTCAAAGTAGTATGGCTGAGTTTGGAAAGCATTGCTCCACCTCTCACACACCAAACACATACTAAGTTACCACGACAACCGCTCTGTGAACAACAGACTGAATTGTATTCACATACTTTTTGGAGAGCAAAGACACATGGAGCGAGACGTAGACAGAAAGTGGAAAATTACGTGTTTTGTTGTGTACATTAGATCAAAGGATGTTCTGAAAACCCCATCAGGAACATAGAGAAGACAACGTTATCGAGGTATAGGAAACTGTGAATCAAATAAATCACCAGGCAGTTAGTCCACACCTCAAGGGTTTGTCGGAATTTACAGAAAACCTCTCAACCCAGAAGAATCTTGGAACCTCACAAACCAGTTTCCAAGTTGAAGAAATTGATTTAAGGAATGTATATATACGGGAAACCATATCGTGAAGCAAAGCAACTCCACAGACGGCAATGAAAAGTAAGCTAGACATGGATACTGATGCATAATGCAACTATCACAAGGCGCGAACCACTGTCTCTTGTTATCATAAATGGAGGTCATGATTTACATAAGCTTAATGTGGAAAGTAAAAGAAAATCGCTCCTTTGAAATTCAAGACAAAATGTTTTTGTAGCATGAAGCACCACAAACAATTGAGTCACACTGAAATCGACCTGTCTGTAAATCAGTAGGCGAATGACCACTGAATTGGCAACCAAATAGAAGTCCCAATGGAGAACCCGAGAGATCAGGTCTGACGGTCCCGTAGACCGCAGTCAATCTGGAGAGAGTTAGCTCAACATGGCCACAGGAATTCTCAACACATTCCTAATAGAAGCAGCCAAGCTCATGATCCGGACATTTCCACACATTGCTCATCACCACTCACAATGGACTAAGCGAGCCAGCTCTGAAATGAACGCCTGTGACCAAATTGTCCAGCACGCCAGAGACCCCACCCAACTGACATGTTTAACCTGTTAGCTGTCGAAAATCGTCTTACTACAACTGACTGGTTGTGCTCGAGGAAATCAGCTTCCTTGTGTCTAACTTCAGAACTCGCAATTGATTGATGCACACCACCGCATATTCAAACCTCCCAAAATTTCGAGAACTCGATTCATCTGGAGGAACTTTAACTGTTAACTTGAGTAACCACAAAACAAGTCTGAATATGAGCACATTTATACGTTTAGGGGTCCATCTTTAACGCAATAAGTCTTCCAAGTGCAACCAACAAGCGTGCGATAATTTCTATCAGTTATATAACTTTTTGAGAACTCAAAATTATGCCACGTTCACCCTGCTCACTGGTTTCTTACAAGCGTTTTGCAAAGCAGTGCAATCTAAAAAGCGCATGCAGCACGACAAAAATCCACGGGTGGAGCTCCATAACACTCCTTTACGTAAATCCATATGTGACATCATGGCGTTTACTGAAATGAAAAGTTTTGTTGCGTCGATATATTTCCCTACTACGAATATGAATCAGGTGACTTAAGAAATCATCAAAACCTTGCAGCTTACCACAGCTACTGTGTGAAAAGGACCGTTTTCTATTTTCACATAACCAGAAATAGTGGATCCTGCCGGAACTCGCAATTCGAGTCATTCAGAATTTATAGAACTGACCTAATCTCAGTTAAAATTACAAACGTTTGTAAGTTTTGATGTGTCACGTCACGTTTGACGTTATAAAATTAATGAATCAACAACATTTGAGAAATAGATACACTTTGATTCCAGGTCGATGAGGGTGCAACAATTCTCTGTAGTCTACAGCATGCGTAAATGCTTTGATGAGCAGACGTGAGCATTGGGTCATGAAAATTAGAGTTATGAACAACTGATTAGCTGCTCATTAGTATGCCAATTGGATATTTTTTCAGAAAAACCCAGATAATTAGGCATTCCTTAGTTAATTAGCCCTATTGGGTGATCGATCGTTCACTGTTTGAGCCCATAGATTGCACTCCGAAAATTAGCTAGAGCCATTCGTAATATGTAGGTGGTTCAGTTGTTAACGTAACCTGTCAGGATGTCAAATTCTTAAGACTCTTAAAATCTTCCAAAAGAGCGGTTCACTTGCGATCAACAGTCTAATTTGTTGTAGCTTTACTAAGAGTCTTTTCGCAATCATCGTCAAAATATTCAAGCGTATGAGACTGTCTTCGAAATTACTTCTTTCCAAGTCACTTAGAGATGAAGAAAATGTTTTGCGCCAAAACAACGGAATTTTAAACGTGGGATTTAACCGGATGGTTTTTAAATTAGGTGTTGGGGCTTTGAACTGTAGAGACATGAATCACTTTGGTAATAATAGTGGGATCACCGGAAGCTGAGCATACTTACATAACCTATCGTTAAGGTCGAATTTTGGATTCTTTTGAAAGGTTTTGGGTAATCAGTTCAAGCTGATTAGTTATTATTGGACTAGATTTTTCTCTTTTTTCCCTTTAAAGCTACCAAGGCTAGTTAGTATAGTAATGCTGCGTGCCCTATCGGTAGTCATTGGCTGCTCATCTAGCTCATCATCGAGCAGAATATTTTTTAGGGAGGTTTTGAAATTACTATGATCAGATGCCCCGAGTCCTAATCCAGATATACAACACAGTATTGTATAGACAAAAATTTAAATGACCATAAAGCGAAGATTTATGCGAACCATAAAACAGTAGTATATCTGGCACTGACTTATTCCGGTGAATTTAAATTTCCGTCCCCTGAGTACACTAGGGGATCGATCACCACTCGGTACATTTGTCAGCTGACAGCAATGGTTTGCATTTAAGAAACCCAAATTTCCTTCCTATCCATAATCAGTTTGCCCTTCGGACAAGAAAACGGTATGGTGGGCGAGATCATGGTACTCATTCACTCGGGAGATAATGCTACTTGGACGCGAGTACTAGGAAAAGTAGATAGAAAATGGTTGTCCTATTTCGCGTAAAGAACAGCACACACTTTTAAAGTAGAGAGATGAGATAATTTAGCGGGGTCGAGTTAACATAAGTGAGGGGTTTCCAAGACCAATTGTTCTTAGAAACCCTTCGACAGCCCACGGTCAATTTCATCATTCTTCACACTCACCACATGGACATAGTCCTGAGGTTTGCGTCAAACTTATGCTTTATTTGAACTCAAAGTGAACGAAATTTTTAAATCATATTCCCTTGCACAACAATCTCGCTTGACAGAAGAGTTAACTGAATCGAAGCTGAATCTCTCAATTATAGTTTACTTAAAGAAGCACTGGTGACGTGGACTTTTGTGGCACGTTCAGGTGGGATTTGTTTGAAATCAGTGTAACATTTCGTAAAATGTCTAACCAGTTTAGCCGCAGACGCTACCTTCAGTTTACTGTGGCGTGATAAAACTTGTGCTAACACTTCATCTGAGATTTGCGTACAATTTCCCCTCAAATCCTGGATAAATTACTGCACTTCAGTGGGTATCGTACCAGTCACTAAAGTGACGCTGGTTGAATAACAAACACAATTATTAGTCTCTTAGCGGGCGAAAATCATGTTGACAGTTGAACACAGTACAGACAACTTCATTCGGCGCTTGACTGCAGCTGTCGTCCATGACCCGTCGTCGTCGACGCAATTCAGCGCTACTCGTGGTTCAGTTGAAATGAACAATAACTGACGCGATGGATGAATGATGTATCTGAGAGGACTGCTCTGGGAGCCATTCATCTATTGGCCACATCATGTGAATCCATTGACTGAGGGACGTGAGGGGCTCTATCATGTGTAAATACGAGTTAATGACACAGTTGATTAGCCTCTTGTAACCGAGCGGTTTATTGTTCAACTACCTGTTGGGAATCTGAGGTTTTAAACCATCGTGGATATTCAGGAGTTGCAAACTTCCGGTTTTTCTTAAGAACAGCAAAGTAGCTGTAAATGCTACTATTTTAGCGTAGATTTAAATCACTTGGTGGAGAAGTTCAAATAGAAGCGCAAGTGGCAACTAAGCTGAGAACATCTCAATTTGGAAGTTGAATCCCCCAACTGGGGGACCACTATTATTTATTCAGTTCAGATTGGCTACGATTCATAAGTACGATGATTTGTGCCAGATCTTGTGAGCTGGTCATTTGTTATAAAAGTGAAAACTTGAATTCAGTTTCCAAATACTTGGAAATAATGGACCGCATGCACCATTCTTATCTCGCAGTCTATTTCTGTGCTTATAGAGGACCATTTGTTTTCTACTAACTTCACAGCTAACACATAGTCATTCTTCATTGATTGATTTATTGAACTGGTTGTGTAGAGTGTTTAAGCGAGCATTCGCGTCACTTCACATCACCGTGTTTTGTACGCACACGCTTGTTCTTGAGGCATCACAGAGAGGCTGTTCCTCGTGTCGTATTCCTGCGGTGCACAATTCTGCGCAGAAGGTACAGTGAAATCGATGTGATATAATGTTTCCTTTCCTACCAAGTTTTTTACATGTAGCACGACAGTGTATCTGCAGATTTCACTATCCATAGCTTGTGACTCCAAACATCGAACAATTGGGCGGATGCAGAATACAGCAAGTATTTCATGTGTGCGTACCTGACTTATATTAGGTTGCCAGCTTAGATGAAAAGTGCTTTCCTCCTTCCAAAATTGTGTAAAGTTTCCTGTCAGAAAATCCCAGTTTTGAAACGGGTTTGCCGTGGAAAAATTTTCGAAACCGTACACAATCTTTGTTAATACTGAGTTCAGCAATTCGCCAATAGTGGAACAAAACAGTCGAGCGTAGAGTGAACCACTACACAGCTCCTTCGACACGTTATAATATGGCTGTCAAATAGGTGGACTACAACAGAAGAGATACTGGCATTCTAAGCTTGACTAACCCCCTTAATTAGATTTTCTTCATTTAGGAACTGTGAAGATTGATGTTGCAAGATTATCGATTTTGTGAACAAAAATAGGGAAACAAAACTTAAATGTGTATCCTTATGTTATCCTATCACCTGTGGATCACCTAATCATTTCTGGATGAGATTTCCAGACACGTTTTCGTCAAGAAATAAATGAAGGCAGAAACCAAGTTTGTTTTCTTTGGGTAAATTGTCATGAAAAACAAAATTTTTTGGCAATCCTCTAACGTATTGCGCCTTACGCGAGTATTTTGCGCCGATTATTCCTCATGGACAAAACTACTGAAAAGTAAAATGCTTTCTCGGTAGTTTCAATGGATATCTACTGCGCGGAAAATACTAAGAAAAATCAATCCACAACAGTACCGTCGACCACGCGGTCTTGTTTTTTCCTTGCCACTAATGTCATTTACCGCACCAAAAGCCGTTCATTTTTTAGGCCTTTTTCTATCCATATACTGTTGATATGCTACGTACATGTCTTTAGTTAAATTCTCATGCGTTTGTATTCAAGGAAGAATTTGAATCATGCGGTTTAAGCGCTTCCCTTATACGAGAGGGCAATGAGAGTGGTCCGGCGCTAAATGCCAAGCCCGGTTAAAAAATTGGGATTGAGACAAGGCTTATTGATTTTCTGATTTACAAACCTAACCAAAAATGCATCGACAAAAGCACCATTCTTTGGTTTCCGAGTGAAATGAATTTCCAAGTTCTTTGTGTTTTATTTATTTGTGATGTGTCACTGCATGAGGACTGACCCACTCTCCGCCCACTAACTGAATTATGAAATATGGTTACCGGTAGGTTATCTTTGCAGCTATCCGGAAAACGGAACATTTTCTTCCTTGTCCGAGCATTGTTTACCGTGGTCAACTTGTTTGTTGATGGTCCACCTCTGGCTATTCTTTGTTTGCTCAAAATTTCAAAAACAAAGTGGGAGAAGGAAGCACACAAGACCTACTTGAGATTGGCAGTTGACGTCCGCACCGAATTCGATCAATAGCTTGACAATTTCCAGGTGACCAGCAAGGCTGGCAACATGCAAGGCGGTATTTCCTTTTTTGGTAGCTGCATGCACATTGGCGCCCCGTTTGAGCAACTCATGCACAACTTCTGTATGTGCCTCTTTCGCTGCCAAATGTAAAGCTGTCAAACCGTTCTGATTAAACAACGAAAAGGGAACAATATATCAAAATGGATTTCAGTTTTTAAAAATCACACAGTAAAGGCGTTATTTGTTAGCTTATTTTAGGCAAAAATTGAATGGCCAAGCAAAGTAGAATAGCGGATAGTTCGACCTGCAATAAAACATTTCTGGAGAAGTAGGGGATTTTGTGCAATCAACTCAGGAGGGCAAATGTGGGTAAAAATGAGTGATTGTGTTTTACACAAAGGCAACCCTAATATCTTTTCTAGTCTCACCACCACTGAAGATAATAAAGCGGTAAATGATCCGTGGTAGCCTCGAAGCAGACTTTTGGTTGAATAGCTTCGATCGTATGTAAGGAATGACTGTGGCAGTTGGTAACAAGAATCATGCTTAATAGCATGTGCATACCTGCATTAACTTGTTCCTGTCTAATTGGATAGATGATTAGGACTTTGAACACGACCGAGCGAATACTGTAATTTCCGTAGAAAATTAAGGCGGTTCTAAATGACCCCTAAACCATTAATTACCAATCTTATCATCCTGGATGATCACGGATACGTAAAAATGATAAGCATGGATTGAATGTGGAGAAACTTGCTTCAACTGGCCCTCCGTCGGAGATACTTGTGCGAATATCAGTTCTTTACGCCAGATCTCACAGGTGTCCCAAGAAGTAAGGCAAAGATAATTACAACACACACAGAAATTGATTGTTCGGTAGATGGGTTTCAATTTCATCGGTAATGCTTATCACCCAGGCGCAGATACGTAAGTGTAACCGCGCTAGACATAAGCACTAGTTTCAGCGCGGAAAGGAAGCATTAAATAGTATAGAAAACACTTACTGACGACCGAGGCGAAAATTTTCCGGTAGAAAAAACTATTTCTGCTTCGTCGCACGTTGAAAAAACGGATTAAGATATAATTTCCGCTAACAAAAAGTTGCATTGCGGCATTCTCCTTCCGTAGCCAGTAGTGCTTTATCCAGGTTTTTGGGAACTTAGAAACAACTTATGTGAGCACGTATGTTTACTAATGGTCAACTTCGACGATCCTACTTCTTACAGGTAGTTCGGTTAAAATTGTATCTGCATCAGAAATATGGCTATGAATTAGGAAATATCTTTACAGATTTTGCATAAATATCTGTGCTTTACGATCTGCACGTATTTTGATGATATATGGATGTCCAATGTAGGAAAAGCAGGTTTGCTGGCTCTTCAGAAAGAGTGCACAGTCAGCACGTGTTACCATATTTGTGATGCGAGAGTGTACCAAATACTGAAGGAAGGTGTAAAAAGTCAGCGGATATCAATCATTCCGCTCAACGGAACATACTGCTCTTTAACTTGATGGAAACCTTCAGTTAGTCAATGATGGTTTTCGCCCTTATTGCAGTTCATCAGGTAGGCGGAGTCCGCGATTTTTGTCAACCTAATGTTTGACTTGGTTGCCGCATTACTTGTGGAAAAACCTGCTAGTTGGGCTTAACGAATTCGTTCGTTTATTTCATGGGAAAAAATGAACGTTTTCTAATAATCGACTGTAAAATGAAAATTTTTACACGTATTGGACAACAAATGACGCTGTATGTTGAGGGACTACTCCCCAGTATGACCTTGGATGAAATCAGATTAGTCGCCTTTTAGCTTGGTGGTCGAAGTTGCGGCTGATGTGATAAGTGTTTTCAGCAGATTGGATTCTTATTAAGTAGTCAACGTCCTTAGTGATCTCCATCTTGAAGAAAACTCTTCACAGAGCTGCTTCACAGCTGCATTAATTATGGACTGACGGGCTGGCAAATACACACTGGACTGTGGTGTCACTAGTTCTCCGCTTCAGTCGTTTAAGTATATTTGGTGAAGCAAATGCACTTCAAAAACCTGTAGCTTTATTTGAGAAAAAGGAGCCAAAGCGACTGTCACACCCTTTGTAGTTTAAGCCTCACTCCAGTGCTCCAATAGCTGTTAAATTTAGCAATACTACTACGTCTGGCTACATCACAGTTGAGACACTTAAAATTTTAGTCAGCTAGAGGTTGCAACAACATATAGTCAGCCACTTAGGTAATGTCACATATACTGGCGACCGACTCTGGCGGTTTTCCTTAAGCTCATGGAGGGAGATTTTATTTAGAATAATTAAATATTCTTCGTGTGACAAAATGCCATACTCCTGGTTGTGTTACAGTCCACACTGAGCTGCCCAAAATGGTGAGATTCACCGGGAGGTCCGCTGTCTTCGTCCTTGTTCGGTCTTTTCATCGAAAAGAGTATGCAGTGTACTCTTCGTGGGATAATGACTCTGGGTGTTGTGATACTATATGATGGAACAGTGAAGACCAGGATTATGCCAAGGACATTTTTTTTATATTTTTGTCCACCAGACGTCTTCACAAGGTAATCTAATTAAGACATTAAATCTAGCCCCGTATTTTGACTCGCAGTTTGAATCTGCGAGATGCGCGGGTCTATTTCAGGGACTCCTAGTCCAATGAATCCAGTTAAAACTTCAAAATGAGAAAGCTGAGTTTATTGATAGATATAGTTATCTTTGCAGCAGAGTGAACCGTGAAAAGCACTGTGACAAATGAGGTCCGTGCAAGCACCTCTGAGGCACTAATAATATTTGGCAATTTGCATAATCTTTTGCGTCAGAAACGAATATCGCTGAGGTTAAAGAACCATGTAAGCTAAGAGACCGCGAGTTTAGATATAATTTGGGGCTCCAAAACTGGGTATCTGTGATCTGAATAGACCGGTGTGTTTTTTCACCGCTGTTTCCACACTATAGCAACATAGCATTAGGTAGGTAGTACAACTGGGTAGTGAGTCGGAATTGGGTGTTGTTGGGGCACCACCCACCGAAGAAAGTATTATTTTCAAGGAAAAATCAAAACTAGAACTGTCAAGTACTATATTATCGGGCCTTTTTAATTGTCCTTGCATGTGAACATTACAAGTAGCCGAGTTCACTGGCGCGTTTGCCGTTAGTTCTTAGCTGGACTGTGCAGTGATACTAGCCTTTCGTGCACAGGCTTGTGTGAGATGAGATCAGTAAAGTGCGTTTTGTTCAGCATAGTTGAGTGTCCATCTCTAGGTTGATGCTTACAAGCGTTTACTCATGCGGGTCTGGGAGCTCATTTATTCCAGTGTCAACGAATCTTTTCTTATTGGTCTCTTTCCCTTCCATTTCCTCTCATTTTTGGATAGGATATTCTTCCTTATTGATTGTGCGGCATTTTGGCGTCAGTTCTGCTCTTTGCTGGTGGCCCAGACTGAATAAATCTGTGTTTACTTGTACTCTGTAGACGGAGAAACACTTCGACTGCGCAAAAAAATTAAATCTTGTTAGCCGTGAACAGGACCCAGCAGTGTGTGGTAGCGACAAATTCCAAAATCCCTAGACCGACCGGTCTCGGGTTGTTTTGAAACAGAGAGAGAAAATGAGAGTTCTGTTCACCATCAACCATACCTCGAAAATTAACTAGACATGCGGATGCCGGTATTTCAAACCCGCGTAAGTAGTTTACTAAAATTTCTTATCCTTGTCATAAATGCCAACATTCCACGCTGTCTAGACAAGGAAGCAAAAGATTGTAAAGAACTAACTCTTAAAAGAATAAATGTGTACCGAAGTTCCATTTTGGTCATTTAGGAACAAGGTGCATCCTACATGATGATCGGAGTGCGATAACTCAAGGAATTCTTCCTCCATTGAGCGATATATTTTTACTTGGGGGGTGCTTATTTGTTTCTCGTAATTAGCTCGTAAGCTGGTCCCAACAGAGAAGCCTGTTTTATCTGTGGCAGAGACTATTTCGCAATAATGTAATGTAATGTATACTATATGTATACTATACTATGTACTATATATCCGGGAACTTTCCGCACCGCTAAAAGGCGTAGCGCTATTTGCTTTCACGTGGCACTCATCCTTTTGTTGTAAGGTTTTCGGTTAAACGTATCGGTTTGCAGGTTATTAGTCTACTTTACGTTCAATACGAGTAAAGTTCCGGGTTACTTTACGGGCAGGTATTTAGACGTGAGACGAAATCCCCGAACCAATCGCAAGCACATCACGAGTGTTCTAATAATGTATCAGGAAAAGCATTAAATTCGATGGGAGCTCAGGGTTTGCACTGGAGCTCTTTGAACACATAGCCTGAAGAGAAAAATCGTGGATTCGGTAACATTGAAATCAACTCGATAAGTGGATGCTTTAAGAGGGACTTGAAAATGTTTGCCATACATGTTTTAATAGCTGGATACTAATATGTAGCAATTCCTCAAGGTCGTCCATCCTACAGCCCAGAGGCAGAAACAGTTGCTTTTCTGCTGTAAGCGAAAGTACATCCAGTTCGGTTTAATGGCCTGCATTCTCTCAGTGGGTTGGGTGCTGCAAACCGTTGGCACGTGATTCTCACGTGATGTATTCGCAGAACTAATGTGGCTTACTTTGGGAAAGATCGTCAAGGCAAACATTCTGGACCTTCAAGTATGGGGGATTTACTTAGTAACATTTCTATAAACATTCTGGAGTGATTTTCTTCATAATCTCATCATCAAGGGCAAATCTATTTTCCATTTGATGATAAAGGCGAAGCTGCCCTGAGTTCTAATGGTGAGGTGATAATAAATAATGATATATTTTTTTGAGAAGTGAGGAGCTGGTCGCGTAGGATTCTAGCTGGTAGTTTATTGAGACTGTTCGAGTAGCTTCAGGAAAGCTGGACTATTTTCAATTCCAAAAGGTACACCGGAGATGAGCTTTTCCTGGTTTTATAGCACAGTCACACATGCGCACTGCATTTGGAAACAGGATTCGAACCATTAGGTTACCGGCTGATTTTGACTAGCGACGCTTGACAGTTCTATTCAAGAATTAGATGTGCGCATAAACAAATCAATAACACATCGAGCTGTGGTTGGATCACATAAAGAAACTGATCAATAGATAACCTACATCAGGAATGTATTCCAGCCAGGCTATAGCGATATATCTGGGACACATCAGCTGCACCGAAATAATTCTATTTGGCGTCTTGATAGCAAGCAGCAGCGAGTGTCGTGGTTTAAGTGTTTCTCAGCAACTGTTGTTTTGATGAATCAAATGAGAAAACCGGATTACGGCCCATTACATGTTGGTAAAGGCAACAATAAACGTTCAGAGGTCTCATTTAGCTCCAAAGTTTTGATTGGTTCTTGTTCTAAAATATATGCTGTTGTTTTCTGCTGCCCCAACAGTATGAAAGCGTGTACAGGATTTTCCAAATCAACTCTTGAATTTTAGTGCGCAGAAACTAGAAATAATAAAACCTGTATGACCCTAAACTTAGCATTTTGGAAACGCCGTAAGTTGATCCGGTGTTTGAGACTGATCAACATGTTTGGGTGAAGGAGTCGTCGCAACTTATGTTTAAAAACTAGTGGCTGAAACATCGCACGGTCACTCAGCGAACATAAAAGGGTTGATGCAACTTGTGGCTTGAAGTAATTTAGCATATTTGGGACTGACAAGAGGCCAACATTTCTGTCCTTGTTGATTGTAAAAGGCTTTGGTCAAACATTTTTGATCAAACAGTTTTTTTATCTCTACATAAGTGTCATTCCCCTCTCGGTTTTGGCAGCTATGTGAGACCCGGTTTGAAAGCTGCGGGGCAACGGCTTGACAAAGAACTTTTTTATGACCATGCGTTTATTCCAGATCAGAAGACGAAGGATTTTTATTTAATAATTTTTCTGCGAATGAAATATTCGTGAATCGCGTATCAGATAATTTTTCGGTTTATATGGCTTCTCCTGGTTGTACGGCCACAGGTCAGCGGTACTTTATAATTGAAAATTCCCAAACTGCTAAAAATAAGGCTGATTTTCATAGAGTGAGCTCACTTAAATTCCGAAATGAGGGCCCACTTAGGTCATTATCCGTTTCCGTAACTTTCAAGGCATGATTGTTAGTTTGCGGTTCATACTTATAAAAGCATCCTCTGATGAAACACAATCTTCGTCAAGGAAACAGCGGAAAACTTTTCTACACTTTTTGTGGACAACTAAGTGGCTCGCGAGAAATATAATAACCAGCACATGGCGCATCTGCTCGTGGGATTGACTTACACTCGTTCTGAGCTATTGACATAGCGTTAGGCGACGGTTGGGTGTTAAGCGATGCACAACTCATCTTGAGATTTACCCTTATTACTAGCAGACTCTATATTTCAGCACCATCATTATTGTCCTCTGTGCATCTTGTGCCAGGGTCAATTAACTACCCATGTGCTGCACAATGATGTCAATGACAATCCTATTTTGCAAAAGATCAGAATGTTTCACAGCTGTTGAGATGTATCCAACTGTAAAGAATGCAGTGAGACTGGTCTGCTTGTGGTAAAGCACCGGGGTAACGAACTCAGACTATATTTTACTTAGTTTGTAGCAAACGTAAGAGTTTGAGAGTAAGACTGCGAAGTTGTCTGGAAGGATTATATTCACAGAAATTATTTCAAAAACATGGCTTTTCTCTTAAGACCCTGTAATTTCTGCTTTAGCATGTCGAGGTCGACTAAAAATACCGATGCTCTGTGCATAACCCGGCCTTCCCAATTGTTTTCTGTGGAATTCGTGAAACAGGATTATTCACATCCTTGAATTCACAAATCTCCACCGGTATTCAGTTAGATCTTTAAGATCTGGCGGACGTGAGTACCGTTAGGTTGTTTGTTGTTCAACACATTGATGCAAGCGAATTTTGCGATCAACGCCTATTGTCATCGGACTATTTCTGACGCGTAGACTTAAACGTTTGCATGGCTATATTTAAAACAAATCCTCTGTAACTATTGAAATGTGATTTGTACAATTCGTAAGTTGAACTGCGTGATGTCAAACCTGGATAATTGGCTGTAACGACGTTTTCTTCTGTCAAATCAGTTTAGTAGTAGTCAGTCTCTCAGTTTCTTTCCGCAGCACGAATCGTATCGGCGAAATTAACCACAAGTTTCTCAAACAAACTACAAGCAGGTGCGAAGGTGCGGCGAAACTGGGTTATTCTGATTAATGTAGTGATGGACTTGCATCAAATTCACGTTTCGCTGAGGGTGAAAATTATCGGTTTAGTTAAAAACATCCTGAGCACCCTCGTGGTAGGGAGATTTTTGACCGATCTTTTCGGGGCCAAGCTAAAAAACTGGGTCGAAACCTGACCACACAATGCGAAGAAGGAAATCTAGTAACTGACACGTTTCTATGTGTCGAAAGCGTAGCAAAGCGCGGAAAGTCACGCATCTACAAACTTGGAACCAATAAAGTGGCTATAAGTAAACAATCACGGTTGAGCGCTGAAAATACAAACAACGGTGCGTACCTTTCGATGGACTTGCACTCACGACGCCACAGTTGTACAGTCTAGTATCCCAACAAATGTGCTGGTAAAATTTCTTCCAGTGAAAAATGCCTCCTTTCTTATGGGCTCGGCTGATTATTGATGACTGTGCAAAGTGCAATTGAATGTAGTATTTTGGCCCCTCAGAGCAGATCAATCTCTAATAATTCCCCGCTCTAGTGATGAATGAGAAGAATCATATGGAGGATGGAGCGGGAGCCTTTACATATTTTGTCTATGGATCAATAAATTGCTGTGGCTTTTACAACTCAGCCTATCATACTGCGGACAATGTACTGCCTGCATATATGAGGATCGGATTTAGTGACAGAAATTATCACACACGGAAAAGCTTGTTAAAAACCCACCGAATTTGCCACATCAATGTCCACCCTGGAATCGAGTAGGTCAGCCAACTTGTGCTTATTTCCTGTTCTTGCGGCTCGTAAAAAGCTCTGCGTGGCATCTGCCGACTGTTTTCGCGATTTTCCGCGTTTGGATTTTCGACGCGATTTCGATTTGGGCGAATCACAAGTGGTTGTTTGCATGAAACCAGTATCATCACCGAGTAGAGTGTTAGTTGTTTTGTTAACCCCAGAATTGGTTGTTTTGGAATGAGTATCCGATGCAGCAGGGTGTCCGGTATCCGGGGTCCACGTTACAGGCCAGGTTCGTAATTTGGAAGAAAGTAATTCCGTATCACGAGTTTCGACATCGGATGTTGTTTTTTCAGTTTCAAGGGGTTTTGGAGGAAGAGAGTGTGTCCGGATGCGGGGTAGTTTTTGGGGGAAACAAGCAAGAAGAGAACAGCTCAGACTCCGATTTTTACGTCTATGCATTTTCGTAGGGAAAAAAATTTGAGAAATCAGAAGTGACTCTTCACTCTGCCAACCTAGATTATTGTAGCTCTTAGAGCTACGTCATGCAGGTTCAACAGAGTGTGAAGCTGAATTCATTGCACAGGTTTTAAATGTACACCGAATGTAAGTTAGTGTAGTTAACAGGCACTAACACGAGAAACGGGTGAGTGTGCTCTGCCGTGATAATCATGTGATCTACCAGTATCACACAACAGGCTGCGGAGGTATTGACAGGCAAATAGCCTGTGTTGCATTTGCCACAGGTTGTCTTCAACTCACTGTGCTAGTTGTTTAAGTGGGAGGTTAAGTATACGGGGATAATGATTTTGGTTATTAGCGTGTCACCGTTTTTTATCAGATTATGTTTCGTTGCGTTAGTCGCTGAAGCTGGAATTCTTTTGGATTTGAATCAATAATTGAGTTGAAACCCAGTGTGATGTTGGTAGTGTGAGGAGATTTGGGTTTTTTGTAGAGATTTCGTCCTGTAAGTGAAGCCATTCTACAATGAAAAGCTGAGAGGCACTGTACAGCTGTTTCAACCTTACTGGGAATCATCAGCAGTGCGCATCTCGCGAAACTCCAGAGAGTCTCAAACCCGCGATCTCCCGGCTAGTAGTTTGAACACCTAGTCGTTCGGCCGCTCGTTAGCGCTTTATTAACAGGGACGTTTCCTGTGTGGCCACCAACTGTAAACGGAGTTGGCCGCTGGTAGCAGTCTGCCGCGAACTTGTCCACCTCGCCTACGACTAGTGGTCATGCCACGAATGTATTTTATACGCCTGACTTTAAGCGACTGGTCGACAAGCCTTCACTATTTAAATATCGGCTGTGATCATTTAACTTCGAATTCTAACACAGAGCATAAATTCCGTTCACAGTTGCTAACACCATTCCAGCCCTTCAACTTCCTGGTGGGCATTGGTGCTCTCATGATGGCCAGTCTAATTTAGGTCACACGATTATAATGCCAGAAGCCTAATCTCATCTGTGGGGTTAAATCACTCGAAAAACGTCCGAGTGTGATTACACTCGTCATTGTAGAGCCGAACTCCTCACATTATTTGACATCCAACTATGCTGCAAGCACAGTTCTGACCAGCCAGTGACTAAAACGGGAACACTGAAGTGGGGCATAGTCAGTTTGTTCATCTGCCTTGTTATCAGTGCTCGTGGAGAAGTTGAAAAATGCCATGAAATTGGCTTGTGATTTTATTGTAGGTTTACTGCATAGTTCTGACTAACCTCATAGAGGCTCAACAATTTGAATAGCTCATTCCGCACCCCGTTGTACCAGCGGTAAGTTTCGTCAAGAAAACAACGCCTGGTTTAGATGAACGTTTTGAGATAATGTAACGTCTCATCTAAAATGAACGATCTTTCATCCAATTGGAAGGTTGTCGGGTGTCATAGCTTCTGTAGATTGTAGGCAAACGTTTTAGGTTTTTTGTGACTCAGCTAAACCTTTCGTTCAAGGTCTTAGGGCGGGAGAAGCTACAAATATACAGTAAGTATTCATGTAAACAAATGATCCGTCAATAGCAATAAAGGCAAGCTGTTGTGAGATTTCTTTTTGCGTGTTCCTCTTGTTTTGTCTATTTGGACAGAAACAACCATATACAATGATTACAACTCCCACGAGCAATAATCGATAATTCTTCTACTTGAACCTAGACAGAACGCTTCTTTGGTCTTCAACCAGAATTCGTTCTGAGGAACGCCTGACCGCATTACGTGGCATACCCTCATGAATATGAGTACGTGTTCTAAACGGGACCACCCCGAAAATGGTAAACATACAATGTCAGATGGTGTATAGAAACAGTATAGTGCACTCTCACGAGATGTGCGTTATATAATCTATATGAACTTGGAAAACGTCTTCCGTAATATCTACATGTGCGAATCCAGATGAAGTAGACAAAAACTGAAGGTTCCTAAGTTAGTTCTGTCCAGAGAGTAGAAACTTTGTACGTCCAACTGGGTCAGCTCATTTGCTTTGAAAACAAACATTTTGAACGTCTGCTAAACTTGTTCCATTTTGAGTTTTCTAGTATCGTACAATGAGTAGTGGATTTTAGAACTCTTAGCAACCTTCCCAACTAATGATTTTTTTAAACGTTTATAGTGCAAAATCTATTTTTAGTCACCTTTAGTGTTGGAGCAACGAAGTTTAATTGGCTGCCAAAGTCATTGCTCTCGCTGGACGATTGGCCTGTTTGACATCCTAAAATAATAGTGGCCTTGTTCATTTTACATCCAAGCTCAGTCATGTCATGCGATTACCTGGTATGTCATTTTGATCAAACCATACTTTATCTGGGGAAACCGTGGCACATGCATAAGAATAAGCTGTCAAATCGACAATAATTGACTTTGCAGCTGAATTGACAAGTGGAAACAGAAGCGCATAGCACTTTGGAGATTGACAGGCACTGAGCATTAACGCGATTACTGAACCGATAACCGAAGCTTCAGCCCGGATCATTCGCACACACAAGAGAAGAATAGCAAATGCGTACTACCACATTTCGTCTCAAGTTGCGAAACACCGTGTCATGTGCACGGTACAGATTGAGTTTGGTGTAATCGAGGAAAATGTGTTGAGCTCTAAACTAATCTATATTACTTACAATAATCAAGATTACTCTAGAGCAGCAACGAAAGAATGCGTTCAATGAATAAGGTAAACATAGTCCTCAAACTCACGATGGTTCGTGATCTTCTCTGTACTCTGGAAGCCTGCTGCGTGGTCATTCCTGAAATAACTTTCTCGCGGATTCACAGGAATAAGTGATCGAGGAGTAAATATTTTGGTAGAGGAAATTCCTATCCAAAACTAAAAACACCACTGACGGCGAACAAATCTTGATATTAGGTTTGAAGCTTGCGCCAGGTCGAAACAAATCCTCAACTTTCCTAAAGAGTAACGAAGTCTACACGTATGACCGTTTTTATGGGTTTTTTCGTGCACTGCTGTGGAAGGTTAGAGGGACAGACGGGAGATCTACACCTAGTAGTTGGTTTCAGTGGATTGTTAGCGTTCAAACCATGTGTGCTGCGCGCATTATCCCGGTGGACTGGGCAGGAAAGATGCAACAAAAATCAATAGATGTGCGCATGTTCACCAATCTACCGAAAATGGTGTATTCTAGCCGCAAGTGTAAGCTTGTCGCTTTAAGATTGGCCGGTGGTTTGTGGGACATTCTCTGAGCTATCGCTATGATGTATAACTGAGTTCGTAAATTGCCTCAGACATTCTGGTCGCATATTTCACTTTATTTACCCGGGTGAAATTGACTCTATATGGATTTCAATAAGGTTTCAAAAATTTGGATAAAACTTTATCATCCCTGTAAGGTAGTAAAATGCTTCGGTTTGTGTTACCGCATGAATTCTCAAAACCAAATTACGATTGATATTTTCATCCGAGCTTTCTCAGCTATCAACGTTAATCACATTCGGCACAGTGCGTTGAATATTTTAGGAAATAGTGGTCTGTCTACCGGCAAATTGGTTATCTAGTCATTTGATATTATAAATTAGAGAAACTCAAGACGTATCTCCATAAAACCTTTAGTTAGCGATATTAGCGATAACTAAAATGCAAAAAAGTGGGCCCAAAGTGTGTTCTGTGAGTGGGACATTTATGAATGGTATTGTTATCCTTTCATTGTGAGCTATTGCATTTAGAATATTCCCGATAAACGGGTTAGTTTGCACCTTTTTGAGAGAAGAGCAGGATAATGCACATAACTGTATCTGCAAAGAATGGGTGCATGAATATATATATACTCAGTGGACACTTGACAAAAATTATTGAAGATTTTTCGATGGCTAATAAGTTGCATCCTGAAAGTGCAGCAGAGCATCCATACGTGCTACAATTAGGATGCTAAGAAGTGACCTATCTTCATAGGCTAAACAGAGCTCATTTTAAATCTCTTTGTAAATGGGCAAAACAGCATGTACGGGCTTTAAGCGATCAACGTCGCCGGAAATGTGCAGTTCTTGTATTGCAAATTCAGGGTCTCGGGCGTGTGTATATGAGCGAACGCGACAATATTTACAAGATGCCAGCCGTTTTGATCGGCAAATCGGGGAGGTTCAAGATAGATAGTAAGAAGCGGACCGTCTACATGAGTGAACATCTCGTTGGTCGCCTAAAACTACCAAAGACCCAGGTGTACAATACGTCGCATTACAGACAATGAGAATTTAGTACCTGCAGGAACATTAATCCTTCCGTTATGTTGGATTTCAAAAATGCCCAAACTTGGCTGGTCTTCAGGTGTGTTGTTTGATCGTGCTACCAGAGGGGACTGTGCGTGTTGGGAGTATGCGAGGTTTTCTAATTCAACGGCCCAGTCTTGGTGCTTTAAATTGAAAAAAACTACGTCATTTTGACGTGGTAGTTGTATTGACCAAGTAAAGCCAACGCCACTGGATTGTCTCCAATACTTAGTTGATGAGTGTGAAGGAATTGAGACTCTTGCGCTCCTTCAGTATTCTGAATTAGGTCAGCGGTATGGTCAATAAACGGAGTTATTATGGGTTCACCAACAGGACCTATCTCATCCGAAATCTCTACCGGTAAAATTGGACATATTCCAATA